TTCTTTCTACACATCACGTCGATATCTAGTGTTTTCCAAAACTAATGATGCTTATCATTTCCCATGCCCGGCACTCAGGAAACTCCCATGCTTATTAGCTAAGACCACCTTTAAACCCCACAGCTGGAGAAGATTAAATATTGATAGCAGCACTCTGATTTCCCCCCAGAGGCAAAGAAGAGCTAAGACCAGACTCACAGTCCTGTCATCACAGATGACATGTGTGGAATGACACAAACATAGGTTCTGGGTCTGAAAGGCATTTCCTCTGTAGACCTGGCATGGCGGGCTCACAAGTGAGGATATAAATTCACTTTGTCAGAGCAAACATCCCTCTTGGGGGACATCTGCTCAACCTCGAGGAGAGAGTAATGACCACAGCCCACAGGCAGCAGGAGATGAGTAATTTACTGCTGCTAGGCAATTAGTGTTGCTAGAAAAAAAAAATTGCTTTCATTTAAAATTCTCTTTAAACCATACGTATCATGGCTCATGGGATAATTTATGTATCATTAGAAACTAAGAAACATACATCACGCTAATAAATTGTCTCCTCCATTCACCACCGCCAATAGCTCCCAGGGGTCTTTAGGAAGTCAGGGTTTTGCTGTCCGTGTTATGTAAGGTGGTATGGAATGTTCATACGCTTCTCATGTGTTCTCTGTTTCTCTGGCAGAGACAGATGGCAAGAGAAACATTTTCACGCACTGGTTTGCCACAGCATTTGCTGTAAATGAGCCCATAGAAGAACAGCCATGAGCTCTATTTTTTTTCCCTGGCAAATTGAGAATTTATTTTGAATGTGGGTTTTTACTTTAAGGCCTCCCATTACTCATGTGCGCTGTTCTCAAAGATARCGGCATATTTAACAATCCTACTGGTTCCCATGCACAGAGAGGCCCTTCAGACTGAAAGCGAGGGACTGAGAAGAGCTTGGAGAGAATGTCTGTAGGTCCTGTGTCTAGACAGGTCCCCAAAGGCCTCACTGTGTGAGGTCCAAGGTCCTACAGCAACTGGGCAAACACACTTGAGGTTAGAAGTCAAGTCACCGTAAATTGATTGTCTGTCAAGAGGAAATTATTAAATGGAATGTCAGAAAATAAGACTGTTCATTGAAAGAGTTTGGGAAGAAGCAAAGGAGATCACCACATCACCCAGCCTGCCCAAACAATGTGGAAACTGATCAACATCACCAACCACGGAGGTTCAGTCTCCATCTTGCTGAGGTGAGAAGCAGCTCCACAGCCACATATTTGAAAAATGCTGTGATCAAAATGCCTGTTGAAAAGTGATTCTGTGAAAAGACAAAGAGGAAACCTACACGTATATATAAAGGAACCAGTCTGAAAGGGTGATGTACTACTGAAGCGTTCCAACTATGAAGACAGCAAAGAGACCCATGGTTGCCAAGAGTTGGAGCAAGGAGGAGGGAGGCATGACCAGGCAGAGAGAGGGATTTTCAGGGCAGGGGAACTATTCTATATGACACTGTAATGGTGGATACATGCTACTATTGGTRCAAACCCATGGAGTGTCCACCACCAAAAGTGACTCCTAAAGTAAACTGTGGACTTCGGGTGATGGAGTGTCGATGTAAGTTCATTGATGAGATGGTAACAAATGTACTATTCTGGTGTGGGATGTAGATAAGGGAGAGGCTGTGCCGTGTGGGAGTAGGGGAGATATGGGAACTCTCTGTACTTTCGTCTCCATTTTGCTGTGAACCTAAAACTGCTCTGAAAAGTGAAGTCTAGTTTTGAAAAAAAGAAATTCCAACTTAGGCTCACTCTTCCCTTTAATTAATTCTAGCCTTTCCTTAAAAGGCCATGCTTTAATGACTGAGTTAAAAAATCATGTCATCTAGATTCACCATCTGACTTGTGAGATCCCCTGAAAAATGAACATATGGTGGGGGGCCTTGTCCAAAAAGCACTAAGAAACCCAGCGGGGTGGTGCACACTTGTTATTCCAGCAACTCAAGAGGCTGAGGCAGGAGGATCGCAAGTTCAAGGCCAGCCTCCATAACTTAGAGACCCTGTCTCAAGACAAAACATAGAAAGGACTGGGGATGTGACTCAGGGGTAGAGCACTCCTGGGTTCAATTCCCAATACCACACACACACACACACACACACACACACACGCCACTAAGAATTTCAAGACTGTCATTATAGACCAGTAACCAAACAGATGGTCCTTCAAAAATGCACAGGTCACACAGCCACAAAGCCAGTCCTGCATATCATCAGTAGCAAGAGACTGGAACATCTCAGGTGAGAAAGAAAGAAAGCTGAGCTGCTTAACATTTGCTTAGATATATCAAATCACCAGATTCCTGTTCCTGTGCCAGTGGTTCACTGTCCTTCCTAAAGTGTCTAGAATCAGAAAGCTGTGCTTTGGATTTAGCTGTGAGGTCCCCTTCAACCTATCAAGCAAAAGACACTTCAAGCATTTTTTACATGTAGTGTAAGATTCTAGATGCCTGTAGAGAAAGACTCAGTGTCACTGGAAAATAGCTGAGATATTCAAACTCAGTGTCAGGCAAAGCAAAATAAAAATTTCCCAAGTTGCATGAAAATAAAAAAGAAACTGATTAGCAATAAGGTTTGTTCATCCAATGATACTTCAACAAGCAGCTTGTTATGGGAGAGTTGTTCAGATATATGGGATCGTATCTATGAGCATTGCAGCACTTTATATTATTATCAGGAAACAAATCTGTGGCCAGGAATGCAGTAACAGATTATTGAGCATACTTTGCTAATGACTTTAAGGCCCTTGAACATCAGTGCCAGTGCTGAGCTATTTTTACAAGAAGGTCCTCAGGCAACAGAGGGCGACAGGCTATTTGCCCCTAAGTTGAAAGGCTGGGCTAGTGCTGCATTCATAAATCCAGATTCCAAAGCTGGACCTCCCCTGGTCTCTGCACACCTCTCCACCATTATTAGAGTATAGGCCCTCAGCAGGATCTGGTAGGTGGTGACCGGAATCCTCTGAAGGACTTTTCCTAAATACCACCCCTCACCCTTTTGCACTCACTACCTTGGATAGGTGCAGGCTGAGAAGCAAGCTGACGTGTGTTTTCCATGTTCTGACAAGTCTGCTAAAGTCCCCTATGAGAGGACTGAGGGCCAGTGTGTACACCTTCAAGACCATTACCCTTCCATCAGGACAGCTGTGCCCCTGGTGGGGGGCCATTTGGGCTGCTTCTTCATGCTGCTCCTCCAAAATTAAGTGTGAGCTTGTTAGGACTGAATTGATAATTGTCTCCAGGACAGAGCTAGATGAAGGAATTTTGCAGCACTCATAAAATCTTTATCAAAACAAAGTCCACCAAAACTGTGTGGTGAGCTCATTAGGAAATAAAGATCTTTTTGACTGGCCTGGGTGAACATATTTGTACACATATAGACCATGCCAAAAAAAAAWTTTTTTTTAAGTGCTAATGTCCACTGAGCACTTAGGTGTCATGTCCTGTTCTAGGCACTCACATTTGATGTATGTAATTCTCACAATTTCCATTTTACAGATAGGGAGATCTGTCCAAGGAGATTTAGGAGGAGGAGGAGGAGGAGGAGAGCCCTGTCAGGCATGTTGCAGAAGCAAAGCTCTTAATGTCTGCACAATTCCATGGACAAGTGAAACCTACTTCAAACGTGGCAAACAATTGAAAGAACAGCTTAGGTTTCAATGCCAGGCGTTGCATGAATGGTATGACTTAAATGCCAATCCAAATATATTGAGATTTATCATCACTGAGAAGCAAGAAGCGATTTGTCTACCAGGACCCCAAAGCTGCCACCTAAACTGAAATTCTAAAGGGCTGGGGATGTAGCTCAGAGATACAGTGCTTGCCTAGCATGCATGAGGCCCTGGGTTCCATGCCCAGGACCATACACCCATGAAAATTGACTGGAATTTTAACTCAAATCTGTCTTGATGGCTTCCATACCCACACTCTTTTACCATCCCAAGTCATTGAGCTTAAGATGCTACATTGGGCTTTGACTGTTTTCACTGCAAGCCAAGGAGGCAAATTCTACAAAGGAAGATTAGAGAATGAAGTCACTAAGCAGAAAGGATATGACTCCTAACTTTTATAGTCAACTCCCCAAGTGGAGGCTTAGGAGAAGASAGAAAATGGTTTGTCCTAGATTTGGCCTATTAGCAGAGTTATGAGAACAACATTGTTCAATAAAATCAGATAATACAGTTGGTAAAGTAAGAACTGTTGAAAATCACTAAAAAGGGACAAAACAATGTTTCCATAGATGCAGAGTAACCTTGAAAAAAGATTTTTCTTTGTCCAGCTTAAAAGGGGAAAAGAAAAAGAAACATGAAAGTCAATAAAAGACTAACATGAATCAGGAAGACCATCATTAATCTTCTACTCAAATGGCAGTCACAGCTGCAGACTGAGAGGAGATTCCATTCAGAGACAAAACTAAGTACATGGGGTTACTCTCAGAAGTTAACAAGTGGCCCAATTATGTCCCTGATTATGGAATCAGGCAAATGATCTCAGAACCATCAGTTTAAAGGTTGTTAGGTTGAAAATTAAACATAACTCTTGACATTTTCATAAAAAATTAACTAAAATGATAACTTTATCAAAGTATTCTGAGTGTAGACATAAGTTACTTACTCCTTTAAGAACTTCAGTGGTATGAACTAGATGATCTTCCCTGCCTAGATTTGGTGTGTGCACTTGAAAAGTGGGGAAAGGAGAGAGAGGAAGGTAGGGCTTGGGGGAGAGAGGCATGGCTAAGGCCAGGGGAAAAAGGAGCAATCCAAGGATGAGAGTCCTGCTTGACTCAAGTTCTAGTCTTCGCCACAAAATTAAAAATTGTTGACCCCTGTCCCTTTTATATACCAGGTAGTTAGTAGAAATGTGACCTGAATTTTTTACTAGGTAGATGTTAAAAGATACTAATAAATAATAATAGTGCATTATGGTACAATAAAAATAAATTTATTTGAGGAAAAATATACCGTATTTCCTTGCTTAACAAAGCTGAAGTCTCCACCACAGTGGAGAGCAATTGTTAAAATGAGTGACCATTGCTACAGTTCACTGCCACATGGCATGTGTGCACAATCAGGAATTAGCACAAGTGACGAGGTATCCTCATGTTCTGTTTCCAATTCATCTGATTGACTATGCCAAAAGTCACTTAAAACATGTTGAAGAAGAAAACTTGCAGGAAAATGGGTCAAGAACTGTCTATTGCAGGTCTTTCTGTTGAATGGCGTGTGATCTCTATATGGTTTAATAATTCTCCATCATGGAGTCTTAATTTGGTATTGCATCCAACTATATTTCTGTGCAGACCATGAATTAACATATGTCTTTGAACTTAATAATCACTATTAACACAAATCCTTATCTGACAATAAACACACACATTTAAATACATGGCTTTCAACATCATTGTTTTGTACAGTCTAAAAAGGGATTTTTTTTTCCATCCCAACAGCATCATGTCATAAATTAAGAGAGCAGTAGAGAATATCATTATCACTGCTTAATTGCACTGATGCCCAGTAGCAGCCTGTGGTCTATTCTTCACCCTCCAACTTTTTATATAAAGTTTGGAACTTCGGTCATGGTCAGCCAGCTGACAGTCGCTCTTCTTTCCCAATCCACAATTAAATAAGACAATCCTTTAGGAATCACTGGTCCAGGATAATCTGTGGTCCATTAGCATTGCTGCTGGAAAAGGAGGCCTGACACTTAGTTCTTTAGCAGGACTTTAGTTAATAAGTATCAAGGGGTCATCGCTTCCTTTCCTRTAACAGAAAGGGGGTGGGGGGAAAAAAAGCAATGATTCAAAAATCTTCACAAAGATACAGAAATACTCTATTCTAGGCACACATAGGTTATGTGGGTGAAATAAGTAAGAATAAAACAAATTAAGAAGGGTAATTTAAATTGAGATCTGAGTWGACGTTTGTAGAAACACACCTGAGCAGCTGTCCATCCCTTAGGACTTCCCTTTCCCCTTATCTAACAAAGCCTATCAATGGCTTAAAGGCTGGTTTCCCTCCTCCACTGCAGGAGAGAAGAGGCAAGTTTAATTCACATCTGCTTACACAAGCATCTCTTAACCTGTCACTTTATTCCTGGAAGGGGTTTCAGAGACCACTTAGCTCATCCTGATGGCTCACCTCCTCACCAGTGGAGGAACCAAGAGGTTGAGAAGAGGTCACAGAACACACTTGGTAAGTGGCATGCCCCCCAACAAAACCCAAGTGTTCTGACGATCAAGCTAGGAGCTCTGTCAACAATCCAAAGAAGGATCGATGTGTGAGGGTTTGCTGAACTGCTTTGTTGAAAAGGAGTGAACAGGGACTGGGGTTGTAGCTCACTGGTACAGCACTTGCCTAGCATGGGTGAGGCCCTGGGTTTGATCATCAGCACCACATTAAAAAAAAAAAAAAAAAAAAGAAGTGACCACGCCCACATCCTGCCAGAGGCAGAGCTGGTACGGAAGGATGTGGTCTATAATGTGGACTGGACACCAGTCTCTGCAGTACATCTCTTCCCTGGGTTGCCTCAGGGAGGTCCTTCTCCAACATTTACTAGGCATTTATAGCCTTCCTCAATTTCATTCATTCTTCTGCTCCTAGCCTTTAAGCACATTAGGGCATAATTATGGATGGAGTCAAAGCTGTCACTTGTTCTCAAGGCCTCCTTAAGATCCACTTCCTCCCATCAGACCCCATGGCCTTCACTTGCTCTTTGCAAGGTCCATACAACCCCCAGGTCTAGCTGACTTTAATCATAGCCACATTTGGGGCAAACATGGTGACAGCGACCTCAGTCTTGTTTGATATCCTCTTTTATCAAAACTTTCATTGTACTTCTGCTCTTGACTTTCTTGGTGAATTCTCTTGTTCCCTTAAATTCTTTCATTCCTGCCATGGRCACGCCTTCCTTCACACCATGCATCTTCCAAATAACCCTTAGCAATGGTCTGCTGAGTTTGCTCCCTTCTTCTCACCTGTCAAACCCAGTCTTGGCAATCAGGCTTCCAGTCCAGCCTTTAAATCTTTCATTATTCCATAAGGCTGCACAAGAAAACCCTTAACAGCCTCGGAGGGCTCTTTATGATGCAAACCAAGGTCCATATGGTAAATACCATAGACCCATCAGTCGCTTTTCAGAATTCACAACTATGTTTCCCAGTGATTTTTTTTTCCCCACTTATATTTAACAACATAATAGAAAAAAGCAACTGAGATACTTTCCTTACCCAGGCCAACTCCCAGAAGGCAGATGCCTATTAAGAAAATTATTTTCCCTTTATCTCAGTTTCCACGGCAACAATKTAATGCTCACAGAGGATGAAATATGATTTTGAAGATTCAAGTCTTCTTAGAAGACCTCATTTCATATTTCATATTCACATTCTTTGGATATGCTCAATCAGATCATTTCAAGTCCCAAGATGCAGTATGAATTGATTAACAGAAAAATACATCCTGAAGTTTTAAGTGGCAATTATGTACCCCCATCTTCCTTAGGAATTTGATTTTAGAGAAGCCTTCTCAAAAAACATGGGTAGGGTATACTTTAAGTTAAAAACTTCCATTCCTGACTTTTGATGAAAACACACATGGGATCATTTAAGAACACTGTCCTTGTTTGACCCCCATTCTAGACCCCAAACCACAGTGCGGTATCCTTTGTCCACTGAGGTTGAGGAAATTTTCCTAACAGTCCAGATGACAGCAAGCAAAGCACAGCTCTCCAATGAAGAGCTTCCTCTACGGGTGGGTTTGCTGCTCTTCTCAAGAAGGTTATTTGCACCATAAACTATAAGAAGGGAAAACGCCTTTGACATTCTCAGAGTTCCATCTCCAAAATCAAGAGTTCTTAATTTTGACCTCTTGCTATAGCCACATGAAAGTTCTGCCTCTTGACTTTTGGGGTCTAATTCATGCCTTTCATGATATCCCTAAGAGATTGCAATCATGTCATGTAGCTTTCTACACAACCCTGTTTTGCAAGAAATAATTCCTTTYGAAAGCCAATTTAGGGAGGAAAACAATGAAGGATGAAATATCTCCCACAASGAACTGATTCCAGAGTATAGGGTTAACCTTGGAGCAACCCTTTCCTAAGGCAACGGAGTAGCTCATCTCTGGATGGTGGACATTAAATACAATACTGACCTCCTCAGACAGCAGACACTGGACAGGAAGGCTGAAGACTCTTTCTGACACTCCTCTTTGCTGCTACATTCCTTCAGGAATTCCTGCAGATCCGTTTCAGGAAATCCATTCTGCTGGTATTTCTTTAAAAAAGCACACAATGCTGTTACCCTCTCTATAGAGCAWGAGAAATTGCTCCCTTTGTCAACGAACCAAATTCACCTTTGCAAAAATAAAAGTCTCCCACAGTGCAAGCTGAGATCCAAGAAGTGATATTAGCAATGATGAATTAATCTGTCAGTCCCAGAACAGCCAAGACAGGGCCACCATGGGAACAGAGAACAAACTAAAGGAAAATTCCAGAAAGAAAGCCAGGGAGAGCAAGGGAGGGAAATAGTCAAAAGTCTAAAGCTAGAATGCTAATTGCAAGACTATAATAAGACCTCCCACTCCACACCCTGCAAGGTAGAATCTGCCTGTGAAATTGACCGCTGAAACAGAAAGAAGTAGATTTTTTCCAAGCAGAAACAAAGACCCTAGGCCTAGGACCCCTTCCCTTCACAATTGGTGGGGTCACTGATCTCAACAAGAGGCTTGCCCATGCACAGGGACATGGCCACTCAAGTTCACCAACTTCCACAGCAAGAGCATGCAGGTCTCCCTCAGCCATGTCCTGCTGTTGGAATCAACCACCATCCCCCGCTGGATGCTGACCCCCACTAAGTCAATACCTGGCTTTCTTCTGAGTTAGTCTGGGGAAGGGTTAAGCAGAGGGCAGCACCTGAAGGTGCCGACATGGTATCCAGTGTTGTTCAGGCACTGGCTCTGAAGGGGTCTTCCAAGAATAGCCATCTGCTGTGCAGGTGCCTGGGGAGGCCAACTTCCCTCAAGATACCAACTGATAAATTAGGCCCAGCCAGGTGGCTTAGAAAGGTCCAAGCTAAACAGAGAAAAACCCTTCACCCTCCTGACTTAAAGGAAACCTGCACCATGCAAGTGGCCAATTCATTCAGTATAGGGCCCAGCAATATCTGGACAGTGGTCAGGGTGGCAATCATCTCTCATCCCTGAAATTTACCACCCAGTACCTAAGTTCCAGGTAGCCATGCAGGTGGGTGTGTCCATCAGTGTCTAGAAAACTGCCCAGCTCCYATTTCCTTTCTCTTTTCCACCACACCTACAAACCAACACACCATGGGTATCAGGGACATTGTCCTAAATGCATATTCAAAATTATTTTCCAGCATCTAAAAGTGTATTTTCTATAAATCTTAAAAATCTAAATAAAATTATAATATTTTAAGTAAAATATATTTTTCCTGTCTTCTAATCTATACAGAATTTACAGTAGAGTTTCTTTTTCTTTTCTTTTTTTTTTTTTGCAGCAAATATAGATAACTACTTACTTTAATGGTGTCGTAAGAATCCGTAATAAGTGCAATAAAAAGGCTGAGAATCATGTATATAAAAAGGCTGATGAAGGAATACAAGTACAGACGGCTGAATAGCCACACCAAGATGCTCTTCTGCTGGATTTGAGCAAAGGTTGCAAACATGTCGTCACCGTTGACCAGGGAAAACAGGCACTCGGCAACTATGTTCAGGTTTTCAAACTGCAAGAGGGAAACAGATCAGCTTCTGAGATAAAGTAGGCTCCAGAGCAGAGAGCTTTAAGAGTTTTCTTAAAGTTGTTTTTGTCATTAGTAGAAGACAGAACACCAAAAGAACTAGACAAACATTATTCAATACCCACTCCATACTTTCAAAGAAAATCTTTTGACATTTCCCTTGGCTTTTTACCATGCATTTTGTATATGTTCACGGTTACTTCGTATAACAAATTTGGATCCTGATTTTTTTTCTATTTAACAAACCATCTTCTTATTCACGCATAGAGAGCACTTGTTATCTAACAGACCATTTCTTGAATGTGCCAAATTTAACTACTTCCCAGCCACTGGATATTCCAGGTTTGCTATTATAAATTATAACAATGTAATGAACATTTCTGTGCACAATGTTTTTTTTGTGTTATTGGGTCTAAGCTAGTCTGCAACTAAACGCAAGTACTTTTACTTTTTTCAAACCAGATGGGGAACATGATCTGCATTTCCTCAAAGTAACCAAGAAAAAGCACACAGAAGATCTAGAACAAGAAGAGCCCAGTGGAAGTCCAAGTAAGATGGGAGACCCCCTGACCAGAGGTGGGGAAGGTGCACCTGGGGCAGCGCTGAGGGAAAGGACTAAAAGGGCTCATGTTTAGACAAGGTGAGTCTGAGGTTCCACAGACTAGGTATTTCATTTGAAGGTGTGCACYTGGAGTTGAGGAGCCCCTAGGGAACACCACCAAACCTTGGAACCTCCAGCTGTCCTGGATTTGAACAGTTGACAAACTTTGCCACATCCAATAAGTACAAACAGCAGTGCTTAGTGGGCTTATCTCTAGGGCCAGAGGATTAAATAGTAGATGCCAGTGAAAAGCTTCTATCTAAAGAATAATAATGAACTAGTACACAAAAGACAATACAGATTTTTTTTTTTTCCGGTGCTGAACCTGAACCCAGGACCTTGCATATGCGAGGCAAGTGATCTGCTGCTGAGCTACATCCCCAGCAACAAGCTATTTTAAGAAAGATGAACCAAGTTCCTGTACTTCTGCCCTTAGGAGCGACGGCCTGCATGCAATTAAGTCAGTGTGGCTTAGGGGGTTAGAAAGACCTTGATGAATGTCTGGGACACCTTCACTCTGGAGTCGTGCTACTACTTCACATGCAACAAAATAAACCTCCCACCACCCTAACCAGGAAAAGGGACATTCCTTCCAAACTTACTGATTTCTGTCATTGAATAAAGGATCATTGGCTCCAAAGTAGTCAAGTACTTAAAACTATGTGTGGAATTTTGATCTTCCGTCCCTTCAATCTTCTAAGGCCTGTTCTTTTGACATGTTTCTCTGATCCACTTTTTTTTTTACTCCACTCTGATCATCAACATTTATAAGTGGATTATTACTGAAACCGTCAAGGAAGTGTCTTTCACTCCAACCTCTTCACCCTACAATCCAAGCTGCAGTGAAACCTAAACTTCATAGAAGAYGTCTTTCAGGTCATTTCTCTTGCTTAAGGTTGGACAAAGTCTGGATGTAAAGTACAAACCCAACCAAGAAGACTGGAGTAAGTTCCTCCTTCATGCGGCCTCTCCGCCTCCCTTCACTGTAAATATGAACATCCTGTGCTTGTCTCTGCCCACAGCACCATGACCATGGTCTATAGCTTGTCCTCATGGGATTTATTCTCTTCATCTCATGTATTTTCCTTCAAGTCAAAGTCCAAGGACCAATTCAAAGTCTACTTCAAGACAGCCTGCCCTGGCAGTTCCAGTTCTTTCTCTGCTCTCTGTATCAGCAAGAACCACAGAGCAATGCACGCTTCTTTTTACCCCTATGAATAAACACCAAGTCTTATACTTCTTGTCCCATGGCTGSATTGGGCTGGGTGAAGTTGGTGGCCCAAACAATAATCATATACATACTTTGCTAAATCGACAATTTTCAGAAACCGGATTAAAGATACTCTCCATAGAGACCTGTAGGGAACATCCAGGTGAGCAATGCACTTAATATGCAGATTATTTCACAGTAAGACAGGCAATTCCTAGTGTAAATATTTTCCTCTTGTCTACTAGTCTTAAGCCGGTGAAGTTAAAGCTAGCTCTATAGATGTCAGTAACTACTCTGGCTGTACYGTATTCCTCAATGTTTCTTTAAGAATCTGGTCAATTCCTTTCTTTAGTTTAAAAACCCCTAACAGTTTGTGCTTCAGGTTTCAAAACTGTAAATACCTAATTAGTCAGTACCTACCATATTAGTTTCTGAGTTTTCTATGGTTATTTAATTTCAGCACCTACCATATTAGTTTGTTAATYTTCTATGTAGTTATCTAATTTCAGCCTAGACATAATATCTGCCTCAATATTAATATTATTCATAACCATTAAACCTCTCCTTCCTATGTAGACCTAAGAATTATTATAGCCCATCAAAAAGTTACAACTGAGACCAAATAAATTGATTGGTGAATTCCCTGTCATTTCTGTATTACAAGAATTAGCTATAAATCAGAGTCAATCTCAGTGGCCAAATCCCATAGAAATGATCTTAAAATACAAAGTAACATCATAATGTGCTTCCAATTAGAAGGACCACATTTAAAGGGCACTGTTTTGTTTTTTTTGGGGGGGATAGGGTACAGGAATTGAATCCAGGCCACTCACCCACTGAGCTACATCCCCAGCCCTTTATGTGTTTTATTTAGAGACAGTGTCTTGCTTGTTAAGTTGCTGAGGCTGGCTTTGAACTCAGGATCCTCCTGCCTCAACCTCTAGAGCCACTGGGATTAGAGGTGTATGCCACCATGCCTAGCTTGTTTTGGTTCATGAGATCTTGGACCCTGGAAAGTAGGTACTGCTGTCTCTCTTTCAACAAAACTTCTTGGGCACCTGCACCTGTCTTGAGACTGGACACTGGGAACCTAGAGAATAAGCCATAGTTCCTGCCTCCCAAGAACTCAGTCTAGAAGAAACCGACAAAGTCTGATGCACTGCAGACATTTAACAAAAATTAAATGGGTATTTCCATAAAAAGTCCCCGTAGTTTCTACAGGACCACACTGCAAACCCAAACATTCATTTCATGAATGATAATTTAGTGATTGAGCCAAAAAGAACTTTCACTTAAATACAAACATAATTTTCAATAGCTTATGTTGGAGAATGATAGAAAAGTTTGCTTCCAGAGCTGATGACCAGAATCTCATGCAATATTTAGATAATATGTTTTAACTAACTAGCTTTTCTTTGGAATAAGAGGTACTTGGTTAAAACCAGAGGCCTTAGAGGCATGAAGGTATATCAGGTCTGCAGAATTTTATTGCTGGCATCAGCAAAGTCCAACAATTTTTCAATGCCTTGGTCTTTTCATTTGTTAAATGTGGACAATGCAAGACCATTATTTATCCTTCCAAGTTAAAAAAAAAAAAAGTCCCTGGAACTAGAACTATAAAAGCCACATTAGCGTAATGTTTAATAATTCACGATGAGGTCTGGAAGAACATCAACAGTCTTTAGCTCTGTGCCCAGACATTTTGAAAAGGCCTGGTGCCAAAGTCCATTAGGGCTAGAAATGAATATCAGTGGGACACTTTTTGTACCTCAGCTCCCCTTCGGTCGAACCARTGAAATCAGATGTCTAACAGGAAAACAGGAAGATGAAATGTCATGGRACTCCAGCTACCAAACAGTAGCACCAAATTATAATTTTTCTGATATGACCCCCCCCACCCCGCCCTTTAGTGTTGTTTGCTTGTTTCAAAGAAAGAATTAGCTTTAACCCTTAAAGTCACTGTTTTTAAAACAGTAGAAAACGCTTGCTGGGATGCTCAGCTCCTCAGGGTTTTGGGTAACACTCAAGGTCCTCTGATTCAATGACTACTAGAAGAATCTGAAAATTCTGACACTTTGGATTAATTTAGGAGTGCTGGGACAGGGAGCAGTAAAATTTTCAAACTTCAGATTAAAAGTGGCAGAAATATGGAGCAGAAAAGCAAAATTTTCAGAATCTGACTTGTGCATTTATTGAATTAACTGGACTAAATTTTCCCAGTCATCAGCCTAGCAAAAGATAAGAGAGGAATGCTATAAACAGACCTGCTGGGAAACCCTAGAGTCACCCCTCATGCCTGTATTCCCCAAGAGARACAAAGAAGCTGACATGAAGTGAGAAATGTGTGTACAAGTTTAAAGACCAAAATGGGAGCCACCTGCCACGTGTGACTCTTGAGCACCTCAAATGTAGCTTATCTTAATTGGGATAAGCCATGAGGACAAAATAGACAATAGATTTCAAAGACTTAGTATGAAAAAAAAAGGAATGTAAACTGTCTTACTATTTTACATTGCTTACATGCTAAAATAATATTTTGGCTATACTAGGTTTAATGAAATATAATTATGATTAATGTCATCTGTTTATTTTTTCTGTGTGGATACTAGAATATTTTAAAGTGTACACATGAATCCCATTTGTAGTGTGTGTCACATTTTTACTGGATAGTGCTGGCCAAGAGCATCCCAACTTCACCTAGATCCCTTGAAAAGACAAAACTGGACATATGGAAATAAGGTCAGGCCCATCAAGCAAATAACCTGATTTTCCACTAGGTGATCTTGACACACATCAAGAGAGTAAGACTGATTCCTGTGGCTTTTCTCTCACTGTTGATCTTGAAGTACCACCTTGTTCTTTGGGTCAAACTAAACACTCTTTTATAGTGGTCTGTTCTAGATAATACCGAGAGAAGCCCTACAGACACCAGTCAAAGCATTTATACTGAGGTCAGGTACATCCAGGTTTGAATCCATTCACTCTCTGGGTAACCCTAGAAAATTTTAATATATTAAGGTTTCTATTTCTATAAAAGGATAACAGTATTTTCCCACAGAGAAGAGGAARAGARGTACTGTAGTTCTGATCTCAAAYGTTCCCCAAAGARCCATGTGCTAAAAGCCTGRTTGGTAGCCTGTGCACTACTGGGAGAAGGTGGAACCTTTAAGCTTGGGGCCTAGTGGGAGGCAGGTAGGTCATCAGGTGTGGGCCCTTGAAGAGGTTCCTGGGACCCCAGCCCTTCTCATCTCATTTCCTTCCTGGCTGCCATGAGAATAGACCTCCTCTCCCATGCATTCTGCCTTGAGGTACTGCCCTACCACAGGCCCAAAGCAATAGGGCCAAGTGACCGTGAACTGAAACCTCTGAAGCCGAACCAAAATAAACCTTTTTCTCCTTAAAAGTTGATTCTCTCTGTATTTTTTGACTGTGACAGAAAGCTAACTTGGGAGGGTTAGCGCAATAGGGGAGATAAAGAACTTGGATACCAGACTAACAAAAAAACATCTGAAATGATAGCCATTTAGTAAAATTAAAGTGACATTAATTGAGCATCTTCCAGAATAATGATGGRGTGGGGAAGACAGGAGTGGGGAAACAAAGGAAATGGGACCCTTTGTCCTGRGGTCTTGGGGCCAATGGATCAAAATCAAATCCTTAGGTTCGGTTATCTATTCCACACAGTACAACACTGCCCTCTAGTGACAAAGAGATGGAGATGTTCTCAGAGTATGAGGAAAGTAAGGAGCAAAAATGTAAAYTTTCCTAGTCATGGAGACAATCAGTTCTCCAGATCATAGATATCATATCAGAGAACAATTTTTACTCATGAGTCACCTTCAAAGCAGTGACATAAAATTGGAAAAGCAATAAGATTACCAAGGTTTATTATTAACCCAGAAGTTRACTATCTGCTAATTATATAGTGTCTCAAATAGGAAAAATAGTAATTCCCTTTGCACATAGTATGCCAGACATTCAGAGAGGAAAGCCTGGGTTACTAGTTTCTAGATTTTATTTTGGTTGAATAACAGAGAAGGCTTGAGCTTCAAGGATAACTTTCCTCTTTGTGAACCGTCTACAAACCACAGCTGATCACATATTTGTTTAATGCACCTAATCATGGTCAAAACTTAGGGTTGCACTGTTACACAAACATAGAAACAATCCTTTGCATTTGGGCCTCTTTTACCCTGTAGAGTGCCTGAGGATACCAGTACCCCAGGCAGTTGTGGGGATGAAATAAAAAAGAACACAGAAATGCCCCGCTCGATGTCTAACACAGAAACAGCAAGTGTTAGCTGCTGTGATTCCAGTCATGGGTCCGTGGAAGAAAAACTGAAGCTATGATCATTACTTTTACTTCTGTGGTTTGAAAACAAGACCCAACTTACCTCGTTTCATTTCCTGATGTCTCAAAATTTGTCAATTTAAAGCAAGAATATCTTAGCATAACTTGGGCATTTCTGAGTTTATGATGGTCAGTACTAATGACTGAAGCTCAGTAATAGTTTGAAACCCAGATTCTGATCTTTAACCCAGCACAAAGATGGTTCTCACAAAGATGGTTCTCATTTCCATCAGAGATGAAATGGCCCTCCAGGCAATCCTTACCACCTTCCTTCTCCTCAACTGGTGTGGACGAAAACCCTAATATTTGGAAGTAGAATGATTCTGTAATAATTTTTCCCACTCAATTTTATTTTTACTAGAGTGACCTTATGCCCAAACACTTGTCACATGATGATCAGTTGGGTGAATGCGTGACCCCTCAAGCCTACTACAGACAACTAGGACATACATACTCTCCAGACTTCTGCAGTTCTTGTTTCAATATCCTAAAGTCACTTCAATTTCCCAAAAGGAAAAGAGATACAAAACCATGACAAAGACACCTACTTATTGACATCACAGGTGAGTGATGGGGAAGAATGTTTAGAAGGCAAGTGCTACAAACCCATTATAAAGGTCCCAAAAGCCTGCGGTGCAGAGGGAAGAGGGAGCGCTACATACCTTCTCATGATATGGGCCCAAGACAATCCAGCCACAGAAGGTGTAACCCAGATAGATCATGCCAGCACAAGCACAGAACCGGAGAACTTTGGGCAGTGAGGCTTGCATTGTTAAAATGAGCACCTGGAAAAAATAAGGGAATTAACAGAATGGGGGAAATAAAAAAGTAACTATGAACCCAAAGAAGAAATGAGTCCCACCCAACCACAATGGTCCTTCCCAGCATCAAATGCTTACGTTATATGCTTGGAAATACCCCAGGTATCTGATGACACCAACCCAAACGAAGAGTGTAGACGTCCCAAGCAAAATGCTGCACAGGTCATAATTTGTGAGATTCTAAGGAATGAAAAAAAAAGGCAATAAATCATTTACCTCACTTTTGATGGATTGGAAAGAATGTTCTGTCTCCCTAGAGGTGCTACTAAAAGTTTTTAAAAAGAATGCAAAAAATAGAATGCAGTCCCCAATGTTTGTTTCTTGTTTCCTTTTACTACTTCAATGGGTTGAACTGATTTTTTTCCCATATAGACCAAAATAGAAATCGCATTCACCACCAATCTAGTCATTTTAGAATATAAGGTGAAGGTGTTTATTAAGCATCAAACAATACAATTCAGCTACTTATGAAAGCAAATTCCAACATGATCTGATAATCCCACTCTCAAGGAATTCCAGGTCTAGTTGAGAACACAAACACATAAATACAATTCTAATAAAGAATATTAAGTGCAATGAGAGAGACAATGCTCTGCTTGTCGAAGAGGGCTTCCCTTGGGGGCGTGACCCCAAAGCAGAGCTACACCTGCAGGACGGGATGGAGAAAGTTCCACAGGCAAATGGACGAAGGCTGAACAGACAGACACATGACACCGAGAACCAGCAAGTTGTCCTGAACAGGCAGGATCAGAACCAAGGTTGGGAATGGGAGGAGAGCCAAGGAACAGAGACAGAACAGGATGAGGAAGACCCTGGGAGCCACTTCCTAAAGTAGGTCCTGGGAGGTAGGAAGGAGGGTAACAGCAAGGTTGACACTTTTGAGAAAATTACTCTGAGCTGGGTGAATGGATCTGAGTGAAATAAGGCTGAAGATGGGAAACGAGAATGGAGCCTGCTGGGACAGTCCAGGCTAGAGGAGAATGGCCCAAAGAAGTCAGCAGCAGAAGAAGATGGAGAAGATGGGCACTGTGGTGGTGGGAGGCCAGGCTGGTAGGATCCATCAACAGTACAGCATGGAGGGCAGAAGGCTGGGTGAAGGAGGGAGCCAGCTCTCCTTCAAGCCAATCTCCTAGTAATGAGATTGAATCAACTAATTTCTGCAACGTTGTCAGTTAGTTACTGGTCGACTGGTAAGTATTCCTGCCTTGCCCTCATCTGTCAGGGTGCCCAATAGTCATGGGTCATGACCACCAGCTCTTGATGCATGTTCGGGGGAAATGATTGGTTTATGGCTCAGTTTCTCCTTCTGCAACTACCATAAATGGATGGATGGATGAATAAGGCCCAAACAACCAATCTTCTGAAACTTCCGTTATTATTCCAAAGATGCCACCAAATTTCCTAGAGGATAGTCATAGGAGTATCAGTAGCCACGCACATCAGGTTCCTCACTCCCTTCATGAGGTAATTAAGAGACAGGAGGCCTCCCTTGGATGGGTGTGAGAAAAGAGGAGTAGACCAGCCTCCATAAAGATTCTATATCTTAAAATGCCTGAGGTCATCCAGAAGAATATAAAGAACACAAGATTTGAAAGGGGTTGTCCTCACCTTTGCTTTGATTTCCATTTTTAATATGGATCCAATGATGGTCATGAGGTCGCTGATAATCACCAGGACATACCATCCACTGATGAACTCCCACTGGTCAGCCTCACACACACGTCGCTTGTGCTTCTCCAGGAAGAAATTTAGAAATCTCTACAGCAAACATTTAAAAAAGCATCTCTTACAAATCCCATTGCCCTCGGGAAGCAAAGATAGGTGCAAAACAGTGCTCTTGCCTGTAAAATGACGTGGCATCTCTTTCCCAACTCGATAGTTCCATTTCACATTGGGGGGTGGTGGCACACATTTTTCCTCGTCATCTCCCCCAGCTGTAAATAAGCTTTTGAGTGGCTGCTAAATTAACTCGAACATTAAATACACATGCTCCGGCTCCAGAAGACTCTTGTCAAAATAGCTGACACACAATCTGTTCCAGATACTTTGAATATGATCGACTCATTCAAGCTGAGGACAACTCTGGGGACTAGATACTATCCGTTCTGTCTTCTCGGTGAAGGAATGGAGGCCCAGGGAGGTTGAGCCAGGAACTGAGTCCAGCCAGGAACTGGCTCCAGAGTGTGTGTTCCCAGCGGGCCCCCTCGCTTTGGCACAGAGAGGATCTTAACCTTGTACTCAGAATATGAAGAGGATTAGAGGACAGGTAAGAGAGATGGGTGTTAACAAAGTAAGTTGGCTGAATCAAGATCATGGAAAACAGAACAGACTCTTGCTCCACAAATGGTAATTTCAATGAGTTCCCAATTCCTGTGACCCCAATAGGAATTTACACACATGCCACAAACCAGAATAAGACTGGCAGGGAGCTGGAATATATATATATTCATTAAGAGCCCTGAGGGTAAAAAARGTAAAGTGAAACTCAGGGGAGAATTTTTAAACTATTTAAAAAACAGAATAAAGCATTTAATGTTTCATTATGACCCATTTACCAAGCTGCCCTGTCAAAACGAACTCTGATTTCAAGACAAAAGATGAAGCTCACACAAGCTATTACTCTGTTCGTGCCTGAATTTAAAAGGGTCTCATTTATTCTGGAAACACCCCAAAGCGTGAGAGTTCACTTTTGTGCACCTGCACTTGTTAACTCACTATTAAGCAGGATCATTATCTGATTCCTACCTGACATCCCCAGAACCTGTACTTCCTTCCCACCCCTCAGGCTGGTTAGAGCCTCCAGGGAGGGGCCATCATTGGACAGAATTAAGTGAGCCAAGGGGCCCAGGAAGAGTAGGGAGGGCCTGTTGAGAGCCACAGCAGAAGGGGCCTCAGCAAACTTTCAGACTGCCAGCTGATGATTGGCTCACAGTGGCCCAGCAACTTCTAGCTGATTGGCTCCTCTGCGGTGATGCTCATTGGGCTGTTTCCCTGCCCTTTCAGACCACGGAGCTGCTCATTGGGGGACTTCTTTGGCTCCGCCCACACGACCCAGCCAATCGGCCTCAAGAGCAGGAGGATTGTGGGAGTGTGAGAGGCTTGGGTTGGTGTGAGAGGCTTGTGGGAAGCCGGTGGTGGCATTTGGGCTCTGAGGGTTTTTCCTGAGGAGCTGTTTTGTTTGGCGTGTGTGGAAGTTCGTTTCTTTTGAAAAGTGGCTCCTGAATCATGCCCAGCCAGACTGCGGCAAGGGCCAACATCAGCAGCCCACTATTTGGACAAGCTGAGGGTGCCTGCCCACATGGGAGGGAGAAAGTGCAAACACACACTTACCTTTCGTAGTCGGAGAGCAAGAACAACAGACCTTGTGCACAGGATGAGGGAGGCCAGGCAAATCACAATGACAAATGCATCAAACACCAGGACATACTGAGGGTTTTTCTGAACTGAAGAACAAAACAGAATGTAAATGCTAAACACATCTCACCTGWGAATAACTTCCAGGCCAAAGGGCAGTCTGAACAGACGTTCAAATGGAAACTTCTGTTCCTTGTCAGAACACAATGGCAACTATCAGAAAGGATCCCACTGAAATCACTCAGAAGTCAGCCAGCAAGGCGAAGCATCCCCTGGTGTGAAGAGTCAGGCGTTTAAAAATACACCAAGTGCTAATAAATGCACTGACATTAACTTATAAATATTTACTGTAGCACAGAATTCAACAGGAGGTGATCCATTTGGACGGGCCTACCAAGTTGTTTCACACATCAAGTTGCCATTAATATGAGGAAAAATTAAAATGCCACCCCTGGAAGCCTCATTTCTGCTTCTCAGCCTCCCTGCTCACGTTCCCAGTGGAGTGCTGATCTGATAAACGTTTTCTGCATGTGCAAGAAATAACTTCTTGGAATGGAAATGAGGAGGACAGTGGTAATCAGATTTTTGTTCTGGAATACACAGGAGCAGGGAGATTGTGCCAGAGGGAAATGAAACTGTACCTTGAGCTTCTCTCAGACTTTATGGGAGCATCCCACACTCCAACCACTACCCTCTCCTTCTCCACCCTGTGCTACACTGGTCCTCCTTCTTCCATCCTCTTACCTCAGGGACTTTGCACATCCTGTTCCCTCTGTCTGGGTCAGCACCTCTCTCCCTACACACCTATGCCCAGGTTATTCATTTTCAGTGTCAAGTTTCGGATTAAACCCCCCTCCTTCTCAGAACAAAATTTCCTAAATTCTTATCTCTTTTAGCCACTCTTATATTCTTCCATGGCACTGGCTACAGCTACACACACCCAAAGACACTGATCTTATATCCTCAAAGAAGACACGTTGTAGAGCACAAAGACAATGAAAAACGGGAAASGACGTAAATCTCTGGAGCCTGATGGCCTGGGTCTCAGGGAAGTCACTAATCCTAAGCCTCCATTTCCTCTGAGAAGTGGGTAGAATGGTAAAAGTTAATAACAACAACAACAATAAGACAAATATCACGGGGATATCGTGAAGATTACAAAAGTTCATGTATGAAAAGCACTCTGAAGAGCCCTAGGGAAATGACAGGAGCAAACACCCGCCGTGCTTACCATTTGATCATTCAGTGTCCATCTTCCCCAGCAAATGACTGGCTGTCTCTGTGAAGCAGGGTCCCTGAGCAGTGTTAAAATACAGCACTTGTGCCTAGCATCACACTTTAGCAAGCTCACACATAAGTGAAGAGCTTCATGCAGAACATGAGCAGACCACTAAGTGGTCTAAATTAGAGCTTACRAAAATCTGAGCCAAATCAGAGGCAGAGGGTCAAGAGAAAGCAAAGAGTTGCGAGAAATGAAGGAAGATCATAAGTTGGACCTCAGGTGGACTTAGGGAAGGAGGACAAAGAAGACTGAATGACAATTTTCTGTCTTGGGTAAACTGAGTTCAGTCTGRACAATCAAGACCAGAAAGGATGACATGGACCTTCAGAACAGGTGACCTTCAGAGGAGAGTCTAGGTCAGAGTGCTCCACGGCGACCTTCAGCARAGGAGGCATTAAGAGAAGGACCAGAGCACCCTCATATTTAATAACACAAGGATGTGAGCAACCCTGGACCAGTGTCTGAGGGCAAAGTGGCTCATCCAGTAGGGCAGGAACACARCTGGCTAGTAAATGTGATTCACAGAGCAAACGATTCTACCCAGCTAAGTTTCAGGCACCTCTGCTTCAAAACAGTGTGGGCAGCACCTGCTTCACAGGGCTGTCCTGGGAGCCAGGCACAACAACCAATGGAAAGTGAGTGCCCAGCACTAAATGCTCACAGCTGCTTTTAGCCATTCTATACYGAAGAAACTTAAGTTATCTTGAAATATCATCTGACAGATAGATAATAAGACAACATAGCTCTACCACAACACAGCCCTCCCCTACCCTTGGGCCTAGGGCAGAGAAAATGGGAAGTTCTTGGGAAGATGAGTCAGAAAATCCTATGAAAGGCAAAGACAGCTTCTGGTAACTTTCTTTATAACCTATTCCTAGAACAAAACCTGAGATTGCTTTCATTGAGCCTAATCTGCAGATAGGAAAATAAACAGACCTAGAAAGATAAACCTGCCCTCCCAACAGAGAATCCTGCATTCTATTTTTCCTTGAATTACTGAAAAGACAAGTCTGGTGTGTTAAAAAAGTAGAGTTTTATAAACACAGCAATTGCTTTCTCACCCCATTGAAACTACATTACCCTACAGGAACATTTTCCAGATGTGGGTTTAGAAAACACTARTCCAGAAAGATGCTCTACTGACCTGATTAGGAGTGTCCCACACCAACTCCACCCTTCCCTACCACTGGTCTGCCTGAGGGGCTGTAACCCAGGGTCACCTAACTCACCACCCTTTCCTTTTAATACCGGTGACATGCCCATCAAGGGAGAATCCTGCCCACTAATCTCCCCAAGTCTCCCATCCATGAATTGCTCTACTTACAAACTTAAGTTAGACACTCCAGTCAGAATGGCAGTTATCAAGAATATAAGCAACAATACATGTTGGCACACTCATACATTKCTGGTGGGACTGCAAATTGGTGCAACCAATCTGGAAAGCAGTATGGAGATTCCTTTAAAAACTTGGAATGGAACCACCATTTGACCCAGCTATCCCACTCCTTGGTTTATACCTCAAGGACTGAAAAACAGCATACTACAGTGATGCAGTCACATCAATATTATAGCATAATTCACAGTAGCCAAACTGTGGAACCAACCTAGATGCCCTTCAATAGATGAATGGAAAAAGAAAYTGTGGCATGTATACACAATGGAATATTACTCAGCAATAAAAGATAATAAAATTATGGCATTCGYAGGTAAATGGATGGAGTTGGAGAACATCACGCTAAGCAAAGTAAGCCAATCCCCCAAAACCAAAGGCCAAATGTTTACTCTGATAAGTGGATGCTAATCCATAATGGGGGGCCATGAGATGAGTGGAGGAACTGTGGATTGGGCAAAGGGGAGGAAGGAGAGGGGAGGGGTATGGGGTAGGAAAGATGAGGGAATGAGATAGACATTATTACCCTACGTATAAGTGTGATTGYAAAAAATGGTGTGACCCTATTTTATGTACAACCAGAGAAGTGAAAAATTGTGTTCCATTTGTGTACAATGAATCGAAGAGCATTCTGCTGTCATGTATAACTGATTAGAACAAATTTTAAAAACTTAAGTTAGAGGAAGATTGCAATACATGTGGAGATGGACATCAGAAGTCATAAAAGCCAACATGAGTTTTGTATGTGAAAAGGAATATTTCCTCATATTTTGCTTTGAGATAATACAGATAATGGCAAGAAGGAGAGAGAAGTGTATGTGAAAGAAACTCAGAACACCTTGTAAGTAGCATCAGGAGTCCACCAGATGTCGCCCTTGCCCTCCTCCCCCTTCCCCCAAACCAGGGAAATCTCAACCCACTAGATAGCTTCACAGGAGGCGGGGGAAATTTCCTAAACTGTTTTCCAAACTTCCGATTTTTAAGTCTTTCACATCCCCTCATTTTATTTTAAATTCGTATTCCCCTAGCGTCAAAGAATGGCTTCTTAGGATGCAGTTCCAGAGAAACACATGTAAATTTTTACCGTTTTCACTCTGTGGTGTGAGGTTTGTATTTCCCCTTGTTGGCCACAGGAGGGAGCCACAGCGGCCCCGCGCTGCGCATAGGCAGGAAAACCCCAGGATCTGTGTGGAAGCAGCTGCTTTGGAGACAGATTTGATCTACCACTCATTCCCTCATTTTGACCTTCATACTGACTATTCCTAATCACAATTTACATGCGACAAAGGTTAGGTTGAGTTTTTGTTTGTTTGGGTTTTTTTTTTTTTCATAGAAAATAGATGCAACCCATACTCGGACTTGCAAAACATGCATCTGATCTGTGCCAATCTGTGAAAGTGGTACCTGCTGGAAATAGGAACCCCTTTTAAACAGAAACCCAAACTGTCCATTCTGATCGGAGGAACTACTAAAACCCAAACTTTTAAAAAAGATGAAATCATCAGGCTGTCTTATACAACTGAAAAGTAGCAGGCCACAAAGCTACCTGTTTTTAAAAAAAAAAAAAAAAAACTAAAATGGAAACCACAGGTATTTTACATTTTATTTCATTCTGGTTAAAAGGAAGTTCATCCAAACAAAGCTTGCCAATTAAAGAAAAAAACTGCTGACCATCCACCACTGACATCATTTCAACCCCTCACTGGGCAAAAAGGGCTGGGTCCACATAGCCCATTTAAACATGTGCRTTAAGAGGTGTTTTTCATATATTGACTGAACACATGACCCCACATTTGTACAAGTGACAATCTTGGCTCTGAGGCCTTGATCTTCCTCCTCCATTGTCCAAGGCTCAGATCAAAAACATACCTTCTTCAAGAATCATTTAAATTTTATTTCCCACTCTATCCCAGTCGGATATATCTTTTGCTTGCTTTCTCTTCATTCCTCCAGCACACCCCTCACCTAKACCCACCTGAAACACACTAGAGATTTTATCAGCACTTAATTCTCCCTCACTAAGCCTTTCTTTTTTATCTTTTCACCACAGGACCTAGCAATTCATATACACCCACTTCTGTTCTCAGAGCTTTGCTTTCCATACTAATCCTTTGATATCTGACTTCCTGGAAGGTAAGTACCATCATGACTCCTCATTTTTTCAGAGAAAGGTACTRAGACAGAGAAGTTTAGAAATTTGCCCCAGATCACAGGTAAACAGGACTGGGATTCAAACCCAGGCCATCTGGCTCCAGAGCTGGAGTACCTAACCACCAAGTCACATGACTTCTAGCAGATGTGTTATCCACACTTGCTGAACAAAAAGCACAGAGCTGTGGGACATGCATCACAGAATCCGATTTTCAATACATGGACTTCYAGAACCCTTTCCCCCTATCACCATCCAAATCAACCACTCAGATACTCCAAATCCCAAAATAAAGTGTTGAAATCCATCCCATAATCCGCAAAGACCAAGCAGAGCGCATACTTACTAGAGCCAGATATGTTCAGGTCTTTACATTCTTCAATATCGGCGTCACTGTCAAAATAGATTTTGATTTTGCCACTGTGCGCTTTATTATTGAAGGTGATCTGGAGACACAAGGAGATTGAGAGGTTATCGCTCAGCAGAAATTAAGACTCACTGGGTCAACTCTGCTTTTAAAAGTAGGGGCATCCAAACTGTGCTGACTCAAAGAAAAATATACTGATAAAAATATACTGATAAAAATAAAAACATCCTTATCACATGATTTCTTCACAAGGTTCTATTAGTAATCCCAGGAACTAAAATATAAAGTCACCAATCTTTGACAAGAGAACACAATGACCCTCATTATTTAAAAAAAAAAAAAAAGCATTTATTTTTATTTTTTTTTAGTTTTTTTGTACTGAGGATTGAGCCTAGGGGTGCTTAACCACTAAGCCATATCCCCAGCTGTTTTTTATATTTTATTTTGTGATAGGATGTCACTAAGTTGTTTAGGGCCTCACTAAGTTGCTCAGACAGGCTTTGAACTTGTGATCTTCCTGCCTCAGCCTCCTGAGCCACTGAGATTATAGGCATACCCCAATGTGCCCAGTTACCCAGAATGGCATTTAAAAGCATTTGCTTCCATTCTGTCCTATGGGTATGAAATCCTAGGCTTTTATTAGACTGAAAATTCTTTTTCTCTTTGCCTCAAGAGCTATATGCAGGGCTGGGGATGTGGCTCAAGCGGTAGCGCGCTCGCCTGGCATGCGTGCGGCCCGGGTTCGATCCTCAGCACCACATACAAACAAAGATGTTGTGTCCGCCGAAAACTAAAAAATAAATATTAAAAAATTCTCTCTCATTCTCTCTCTCTCTCTCTCTCTCTCTCTCTCTCTCTCTCTCTCTCTCTCTCTCTCTCTCTCTCTCTCTCTCTCTCTCTCTCTCTAAAAAAAAAAAAAGAGCTATATGCAATGTTTTCAGAAATTACAGACTTGTTCCAGGGCTTCAGGCTGAACTTAAAATGTCCTAATGCCCTCACTTTCCACATTACAGAACCCAAGTCAGTCATTTAAATCATTCCAGGCTTATACACGATGCATGCTGAGGAGTTCTTAGGGTAAACACATTGAGATATCCAAAGAGCTGGGAGAGCTGAATGTGTAGGTGACCAAACCCACACGCCTGAGCATCCCTGAACACAAACCAAGTTCTGCGTAATCCAGAACATCACTGAGACCATTCAGAGCTCGAGAGATAACTCAGACCAGCCCACTTCCCAACGGTGAGCTATGATGGCTTCCAAAATTACTTCCCTAAATTACTTCCCTCAAGCCTTTGGAAACTTGAGCAAAGTCCAAAGAACTAAACAAAAATGTAAAGCCAATGTTTTGATCCCCCCATTGCTGCCCATGTCATGACAAAGTCATATGTGACCCATCCTGGCAGGCCCTGCCCCTCCCTGATTCTCTCTTGCCTCTGTCCTTGTCCTCCAGAGGATCCCAGGGAGGCCTTGCCCACCCAGCTCAGGGTGATAACCATTATCTTCTTGTCCAGAACCAACCCTCCTTACCACATGCTGAATGTGTCTCCCTCAAAATCCACATGTGTCTGAATGTGTCTCCCTCAAAATCCTTCATCCCCAGGGCAACAGTGATGGGGAGGGGACCTAATAGGAGGTGACTAGGTCATGAGGGCTCTGTCCCCATGAATGGATTCATGTCATTACTGTGGGGGCAGGTAGTTGTCCCTAAAGYGGCCCCTCTTGCTCTCTCATGTGCTCTCTCACCGTGTGCTGCCTTCCACCATGTCATGATAGCAAGAAGGCCCTTGCCAGATGCAGCCCCGCCAGCTTGGATTTCTTAGTCTCCCAAACTATCAGCCAAATAAACCTCTATTTACAAATTACCCAGTCTGTGGAGAAAATGGGGGAAGATACCAAACAAGGCAATTTATAATGACTTAGSTATTTAATTATCTTTCTGTCTGCTCTCTCCTCCCGTCTATAAGCTTGGGGGGTGGGGCACGTGCCTGGARGGCATAGCACAATGCCTGGTGCATAGTAGGGACTCATAGTATTTATTAATTGTGGGGTTTGAAAATACTTGATAGGACATTCACAGAGATCTCCCTTGGAAGCTGGGAAAAGTACTAGAGACTGAAAATACATGTCAGAAGCATCCCTTTGGATATTTCAGAAGAATAGAAGGTCAAAGGCATCTTTGAAAACTCCACTCAGATATCTGGTTAGAAACAAAGGGTTTCTTCAGAGGTCATGGTCTCTGGACCACCAACACAATCAACTGCCACTACAACCATTTTAAACACAGCCACATGGAATGTCTCTTGGTGTGATTTATACTCTGCAGCTATAAAAGCGGAGAGAGCCATAGGAAGTGGCTTAGTCAAACCAAGGCACTTGCCGTGTTCCGGAAGATGTAGCAGTCGGGTAATTCACGGGAATGAATCGTCTGTAGGTCAATGCCTTTAAGGTGAAAGGAGATTTCAACTTGTAAGAGCCTGAACAGAACATATCAAAAGGTGTAAAATGTCACACTTTTACTCGTCCACCCTCCTTCCCCCTCCCTCAGCTCCTGGGAAATGAGACTTGGAATCATGTTTACCGATAGAATTCCAGACTGAAGAACGGGGACTGCATCCAGTCCTGAGGGTCCTTGTCAAGTGTCTGAAGGTCCAAGTTAGTGCAGTCTAGGGAAAGGCCAGGACAAACAAGGGCCGCGTCAGACAGGCATCGGTTGCTAAAACTAGTGCACAGAAGTGCCATGTGAAGCAGGCTACTTAGAAAGTTTCAAAATACCTCCCCAGACCATATTTACTAATTACCAGAGAATGAATAGTGACCTTTCCRTGGAGAACCTGGCAGACCCCACACTACCCCAGTGACCAAAGTTAACATCAGTCATGAGATAAATAGGCTGTGCCTCCCACCATGGTGCCAAGGAGGCAGCGGTGACGGTTATGTGCTATTCCTGCCCCAAGTCACTGCCTCAACCCAGTCCTGAGCAAACAAACTCCCAAAGTGCAGGACAGTCCATTCTTTAAAAATGTTAAGAGGTTGTGTTGAGGGCCACAGCCGAGTMRGGATGACGCATGGCATTTTTGCCAGAAGTAGTGGTTGAGAGGTGAGCGAGCCTTTAAGATGATGACTTTTGAGTTCTCCCGGAGTTCCCGATGAGTTCCAGTTGAGCTCTCCCGGGGATTCCTGGAGAGTTCCCATTGGTTGGGGAAGTACCGGAGGAGAGATTTCCAGTTGGTGGTTCCTGGAGGAGCCGCGTGGCATTCAGGAGAGTTCCCAGGGAGTGTGTGTGTGGAGTGTGCTGGTGGAGTTCAGAAATAAAGTTTGTTCCTGCTTCAGTGGCTCGTGATTTGTGCCCACCCAGACTGCGGCAAGATTGGATGCAGTGGCACATGCCTGTGATCCTAGTGGCTCAGGAAGCTGAGGCAGGAGGATTGCAAGTTCAAAGCCAGCCTCAGCAACTTAGTGAGAYCCTGTCTCCAAATAAAAATAATAATAATACTAAAATGGGCTGGGGGTATAGCTCAGTGGTTAAGTACCCATGGGTTCATCCCTGGTATCAAAATTTWAAAAATTAAAAATGTCAAGATCATGCCAGGCATGATGGTGCATGCCTGTAATTCCAGCAACTTGGCAGGCTGAGGTAGAAATATTGCAAGTTCAAGGCCAGCATTAGCAACTCAGTGAGACCCTGTCTCAAACATTTTTAAAAAGAGAGTGGGGTGGGGCTGTAGCTCAGTGGTAAAGTACCCAGGGTTCAATCCCCAGTACACAAAAAAGAGCCAAGATCATAAAAGAAAAACAAATCCAAGCAAATTTCTTTTGCTCTGGATTTAAAAAAAACTAAAGACATAATAGCACAAGGCAAGATATGATCTGGATGGGATCCCAGGAGTAGGGAACAGTTTCTCTACAGCTATAAAGATCGTTAAGATAATTGATGAGTTGAGAATAGAGTTTGTGTATTATGGTATTGCATCAGTGTTAATTCTTCACTTTGAGCACTATACAGGGATCACGTAGAATGTTCTTGTTTGGGGAAAAATGCGCACTGAAGTATTTTTAAGCAAAGAAACAGCATATCTATGCCTTCAGGAAAAATATTTATACATACAAAGAAAAAGTAAATAAGACATTAGTATTTGGGAAATCTGGATGAAGAGAACACAGGATATCTTTGTGACGTTCTGTAACTTTTCTGTTAGGTCTGACACTTTCTTCATGATTAAAAAGAGAAGGAAAAGGAGCCCAGGTTGCATGCAAGTAAGAACAAATTATCAGCTATAAACTATAGAAGAATAATCCCAAAAGCCTCCCATAAAAATTAATCTCATTATCATGGAGCCCAACACCCTTGTGTCAGAGGTTAGTAAAGCCAAGAGGTCTAGAGGTGAGCACCTGTCAAGGTGACCTGGTAACAGAACTGGTGGAGGCCAGCCTGGCCGCATCCCCCAGCTAGGGCTGTGCCTCCTGTGCTGTCTTTGACATGGAGAAGTCAGGACCTATTATAGGCCATCCTCGAAGGTGATTTGAGTTACCTCCCTGGCTGGGCGAGAGGCACTTAGGCACATCCTTGTGTCCAGAGCTTTCCCCACCCTTCTCAGGTCCAAGGGCTTGTCTGTGTGGAGGTGTATCTGGCCATTACCCCTGAAGACCCAGTCGTCACACCTGACCTTGGGACACTGCCCCCCTTCATCTTCATTGGATGGGATTTTCCCCAGAATTTTTTGTTCCCCAATAAAAGCCCACTCCCTGGAGTGTTCTCTCTCTCTCTCTCTCTCTCTCTCTCTCTCTCTCTCTCTCTTGCCTCTTCAGTAAACCTCGCTACCCTAATAGGTAGCTGGAGGCTGGAAGTAGGAGAAGCCGTCCTGGAGCTGGTTTAAAGGTAATTAGATTCTGTCTCTTTAATTCAAACTCCCTTTGGATTTCTCACGTAGCTGAACCTTCATTTATGAAGCCTGTGCTGGCTGCGGGCTAAACTACAGTGCCTGGCACCAGCAGGTCCTCCAGCATCTTGTATACTCAATGGTTCATTCTTTSAGAATGGCATCCCAGGATTTCAGCTCCTTATTTGTTTCTTTATCCCTCTAACTGGAGCACAAGGTCTTTGAGAGCAAGAGCACAATCTTATTGCATCACCAAACACTTGCAGCCTACCAGACAACCGACACTTAAAAGATGTCTCAATATGTGGTTCACACTGCTTTTTATAAAAATCAGACATCCTGAGCCAAACGTGGGACACAGAGCTGAAGAGACAACTCAACAGCATACTATAAGAAATGTGCTAGGGCAGTATATTCTCTCATTTAATGCATCTTTCCATTTAAACCTTAAAGCAACCTTGTGAGATGGGCACTGTTGCTGCCATTTTACAAGTGAACAAACCAAAGCACAGAGCAGTCAAGAATCTCCTTAAGGTCACACAACTGGCTGGTGTCTATCCAAAATTTAAATCTACCTGCTCTTGGTTCCAGGTCAGGAGCCCTGCRGAAGCTGACCTCTGAACATGTGTTTTAGAAGAGCATCAAAGATCCAGGCTCCCCACCTGACTCTTCATTTATTCAGTAAATATTTGCTGAAAGCCAAGCACTGTGCTGGGTACTGGAGGTAAGCAATAAAAGGACAGATGTGGCCTCCGTGGAGCTTACCTCCTAGTAGGGGAGGTAAATGGTGATTTTAATACACACACACACACACACACACACACACACAAAATAACTCAAGGTGTGAGAAGATAGTGAAGACAAAGTGATGTGAATAACTTGGTGGGGTGGCCCTAGTCAAGGACACGTGGTCACAGAATGACCCTGGAGGAGCTAAAGGTGTTTGAACTGAAACCTTTTGCTGAAGGAGGAAGAACCACCCATGCATAGATCCAGGGGGAGTACTATGCATAGATGCCAGCAAGCAGTAAGGACTCCAGGCAAGAAAGAGCCAGACTCATTCCTCAAACAGAAAAGACACTGAACAGGGAACTGAGGACAGGGTTATGAGGAGCTTGGTGCAACAGGTAGGCAGCCAGCTCTCAWAGGGACACAGGTTTTATTCTCAATGGAATGGGGAGCCACTTTGAAACCAGAAAATGATATGACCCAATTTATATTTTTTTAAAAAGACCACTCTGGTTGCATGGGGGCTGGGCAGGGAAGGGAGAACATAAGACCAGAACCAGGAGAACAATCTAGGAGCAAGGAGCAGCATGGATTAGAGTGGTGATTGTAGAAATAAAGAAATCAACACATTCAAGCAAGGGGCTTGAGCAACTGGGAATATGATAGTGTAAAACAAAAATGCTGTTATCATTTTCCAAGATGGGGAAGACTGAGAAAGGAACAGCTAGGGCCAGGGGTGAGTGGGGAGATGGGGAAGTCTGAAGCCTTTTGTTTTAGACACAGATTTGAAATTCCTTCCAGACATCACAGTGAGGTTGTCAAGCAGCCAGCTGAACATATGAACAGTCTGGAGTGCAGAGGGAACTCAAGTGAGAGGTGTAGGTCTGGGTGCCCCAGAGAAAGGGCATGACTTCTTAGAGACAGAGGAGTGTCACCTGCCATGAGGCGAGGTTCTAACTGTGGCCTCCCCTTGCACTCCTTTGTGACACAGGGGAGAGGATTGCAGGAAAGAGATGCAAGGAACATGGAAGAGGGGAGGCCAGAAGATAGCGTCCTGCTCGGTCACACCTCTCCAGGAGGCACCAGCCCTGAGATAGTGGGTAGGGAATGGAGGAGGTTAGGGACAATTCACAGTTAACAGGACTCAGGTGGGAAAAGACAGGCAAGTGCCCTGACAGCTTTTGTGAGGAAGTGATAGGGTGGACAAAGGTATCCATGCTACATGCTGAAGTCACTGAAGACGGGAGGTGCAGATGGAATACAGAAAATAAAGTGAAGTCACTCAAAAGGTAGGTCTGTGTGAAGTTAAAGATGTTTAGTTGGAAAACACTGAACCTGAGCCTCAGAAATGCAATGTGCATGAATCACAGGGATCTTGTTGGGATGCGCACTTGGCTCAGGAGCTCGAGGGTGGGGCCTGAAGTTCTACACAAGCTTCCACTAGGGATGCTCATGTTGCTGTATGTGAGTCTTAAAGACCTACTGCCACTATGATTGCATGACTTTGGCTTAGTTGCCTAGCTTAAAGGAGTAGCAGTTTTCTCCACTGTGAAAGGAAGGCCACGCTGTTGATAATTAAGGTGCTTCTAACTCTAAGATGAATTTTAAAATATCAATTAAATCAATCTGAATGAATGATTACATTCTGAAAGAAATAATGTGTTCAAGACAGATGTGCAAGACATGGTCCTGGGTCTTTTTCTTCTGTATTTCATTCACTGTAAGATGTATACTATTTTGCTTTAAACATCTCTAAATCAGTTGGATGTTTTTAAAGTGATAGCATCTTAGATTCATGGAAATAGGACAGAATTTTGTCAGTTAATTTTATGCTATTTGTAAAATTTGCCTTCTAAAAGTCTGCTTAACTGTTCAAATCCAGCATTGCTTTGTAGTTATGAGCTACACATTATCCCAACTCATTTTCAGAACTCTGAAATCTGGTGACCTTACACTACAGTCATTGCCACTGAGGTCACCAGCACCTGATGGCAACAAGACAGATTAAAAAAAAGAAGATGGCAAATGTCCCAAGTAAAATATCAAAGCTCCAGCAGAACATAGCACAACAGCCTCACTGCTCAAATGAATCTTATTTACAGAGCAGAATACTTTGGCCAATGAAATAACAGCCCTCTTAGAAGGAGCACGGGTGAGACACATTCTTAAAGCAGACAGGAAAATAATGAAGCAATCATCATGACTCATGTGGAGAGAAGAACATGAGCAATTGCACTACAGATGCACTACAGAAACTAAAACTGCACTTAAAAAAAAGTGCAAGTTTTTAGTGAAGTTTTTTAGTGCAACTGTAGTGCACTACTGAAAATAAAATATCATATAGGGTGAGCATCCCTGATCCAAAAATCCAAAATCTGAAATGCTCCAAAATCTGAAACATTTTGAGCATGGACCTGATACAAGTAAAAATTTCCACAGTTGACCTCACTTGATGGGTAACAGTCAAAATGAAGGTATACTAATAATGCTGTATAAAATTACCTTCTGGCTCTAAGATGTGTAGCATGCCATGTTTAGACTTTGACCCACAAGTATCTTTTTCATTATGTATATGAAAAATCCAAAAGAATCTGGAATCTGGAACACTTCTATTCTCAAGCATTATGGATAAGGAATACTTGACCTGTACTAAAATAATAGCCACTTAAATATTGGGGGGAGGGGGAATCTCTTTTTTATAGGATTCCTAATAATTCTTTCAATAAAGCTGAACTGGAAAGCTACCATTCTAGAGGCAGAAATGGAAGGGATATAGCCATCAATATTAATTAAGGGAAACTTGGCTTGATCTACACAGCCAACTACAACTAAATAGAAAACCATCAGGAAAGCTGGGTGTACAGGCTGATGTCTACATTCAGCACAAAGAAGGATGATTCTCAATAGTAAAGGAAATGCAGAATGTATGAGCAGCTAACCTAGGACAGCTTCCATCAATTCACCTACTTAAACTCTCACGTCACACGGCTGAGGTCAAATGCAATTCCTATTTGTATCATCTGCAGGCTTCCTCCACTATGTCCAAAAAGGGTTTAAAATCAAATAGCAAGTATTTTTTTAAAGTCTTTATACCTTTTTGATAGGTTGTAAGATTCTCTTTGACAAGTTTTAATTGTTAAGTCAAAGAATACAATTAACCTACTTAAACAATCTCTCTAAACAAAGTCAAATTAAAAACCAACCTCTCTCCTTTAGTAAAAAAAAAAAAATCCATATTCTTGCAGAAAGGAAACGAACAAAGGCACTATTGTCTAATCAKATAAATAAATCCTGCTTTGCAGCCCTGCCCATCCTACCTAGCCAGTGATATTGACTTTGGCCACATTTCTTTAACCAATTTTCCAAGAAAAATCAATTGAGAAAAACAGCACCTGAATCACTGAACAACAGCTGTATGGTGCAGCCACTTTTAGTCACACATTTTCCAAAGGGTGAATGACTTGTAGCTTACTTGAAGCAGAACTTTGAGGGGTTTTGTCATTCAATCAGGGTGACAGGACAAGCCATTAGTCTACCTGTGAGTCCTCCTACCTCAGATACAGGAATCACCTACAGGGAGGGAACAGCTGGGCACCCAGCTAAAACATTCAGAGGAATCAAGATTAGCCCTTTGTAGATGGACTACCAGATCGGTCTCAGGTGAGGCAGTGCTTCCAGAGCCATAAGACCACATTGGCTACAGAACCAAACAACATCCTCTAAAAGGTCTCTGAGAGCAACCTTGGAGCCATGCAGCACCWGAACCCCAGATGATATGGCTTAGGCTTCTTCTTCCCAAGTCAAAATTCTGGAACACATTTACTCACACAGATTCTAAACAGGCAGACTGAGTTAAAACCAGTGTCTTGCAGGAGTGTTCTCCTCTTGTGTTACCAAGGCACCTTAAAATCAGGTTGTAGGACCTACGGTCAGATTAACTGTGTTAACACCCCATTTAAAAAAAAAAAAACTTCCAAATTTAAGCTGATATTAAGACCACTACTCCATATCGTTAGTGTGAGGATAGCCTTAGGCTTGAGCCTAAGCAACTCTATTTTAAAAACTCCAGTTTGAAACCTGCAGTCTCACCAGGCACTTCCAACAAAGCCCTCCAGTATGCCACAAACAAGTTACTTTCCCTCAATCTGATAAACAGAGTGAAGCCTCTGGCAGGCTAGCTTCACCTGATAAGAGGGAAAGGTGAGAAGATCAGGGTGAAGACTACCAGACCAGATGTATCTGACCCCAGGTTAAATGATGTCATGGAGAAATCTGGTGGTAGCTGATAAGGGTTGAAAGGGGGGTCAAAAGCCCCCAAATTTAGTATAAATAATAGAGCTGATGAACAGGGATTCAGCCAGCCGAAGCAAGTATGCACTCAAGCTGGAGAACCTGATGAAGACCTGACATCTCATCACTTGTCACCGTTTCCTGAGCCTCTGCATGATCCTCACAGCTCTCAAACTCCACCCACCTSGTCTGGACCTTGGTGAGAGCCGCCACTTCTCCCTAGACCCTCTCCTCAACCAGTCTCCACTCCATGCCAGGAAAAGCCTGCCTTGGTTCCAGACCTGATCACCGTGGTCTGAGTGAGTGTGCATCTGCTCGACATAAAGCCTAAGGCTTAAGACTYCTGAACTTAGCATGCAGAGGGAATGTCTGTCATTAGCCTGTCATGATTAAGTGTGTTTTGCAGTGCTTAGAATTAATCTAGAATTGTTTGCTGTGAATTGATTATGTCTATTGTAGTGCTTGGCATTAAGGATTGTCATTTTCTTGATTAAGAACCTACAGAGTGAAATTGTACTGAGTAATTTGAGTGAATAAAGCATTGAAAGGGGCAGAAGTGCACGGACATTCTTTATCTCTCTCCTCGACTGCATATGTTGCAATTTTACCCCCTTGACAGTAACTTGAGGAGCTATAATGGAATAATCTTTGCAACCCTAGTACAAGCCACTGTGAACACCATGGGAACAGTGGCCATCCAGAAGTTTGTTGAATGAATGACAAAGTTCTGGGTCAAACATTTTGCATTTACACATTACATATGGTATTCTTTTACGTTTCTAACAGAGTGGTGCACAACAGTTCTACATGATTAGCTGTTAACGTTTTGTCAAACAATCTCCTAAAAGAGAAAGTTTGTAATCACAATTCACCTTTAAAGAGCAMTTACATACTTTGTAGGTAGTAAAAACAAGTATGCAAGGCATTTTTGCTTACATTATTTCATTTAATACATACAGACATTTTTTTTTCAAAATCTAATCACTCCCTAATGGGAAAAAAAAAACCTAAACAAACATGAATACTTATGCATTTATTCCCAAACTAACAATTTTGAGAGACACCAAAGAGATCCACAGATACTATCCCTATCCCATTACCGGAGCCACAGTTTCCTGAGCCAAAGCTTCTGCAGGCTCATGCCAGAACAGGTTCACTCTCCAATGAGGACTTTGCTCTCACCACAGAAGACAACAAAGGCACATAATGAAATTATCGCTGTGTTACCTGTCTCAATGTCGCTGTCAATGTTCAGGGTCTCGTTAGAAGAAGGCATGGTCCCTTTCTTGTAATGCTGCTTACAGATTTTTAAGCCAATTATGTTGTCTTCATTTTCTCCATAGTCAAGGGTCGCCAGGGAAATGTTCTTTAGACGATGATACTATTTTTAAAAAATAGTTAAATAATAGTTAAAAACACATATGAGCTTTTTAAAGTTTGGTCAGAAGTCACAGCCTATGGAATGCAGTTTTAGCCACTTTTTATTGTTTATATCCTGCCCCCTCAGTAGCACTTTCCAATTTTAAACAACACAAAGTCATTTTCTCAGGCTGCAAAGGAACGAACTACCCCACAGAACTCTAAACTAAAGCACACCCACTCACAGCTGGCTCCCATCTCCCTCAGAGCCCAAGACAGGGTCCTGCTGATCTCTCAGACCTTACTGCCTACAATGGCCCCGTGCTCCATGCCACAGGGTCACATCCAGGGAGCTCCTGGAGCTTGCCAAACACACATCTGCCTCTGGTTTTTGCTGTTCCCTCCACCTGGAACCTCAGGTAACTACCTAGCTCATGCCGTCAGGTCCTGACTCAAATATCACCACCTCAGTCAGGCATTCCCTTACCAAGCCAATGAAAATTGCAAGCATAGATCAAAACCTTACATTGTACCCCCAAAAATGTTATATAATTAAAATTAAATTWAAAAAAAACTGCACGCATTGGGCTGGAGATATAGCTCAGTGGTAGAGTGCTTGTCTCACATGCACAAGGCCCTGGGTTCAATCCCCAGCACCCCCCCCCCCCGACACACACTGCAAGCATCCATCCCATGCCAAACACATTCCTCCTGTCCTATTCCATAGGAGTGATCACTCTCAGAGAAGCTACAGCTTACATTAACACAACTAATACCACCTCACACTAACACAATTTTGCTCTCTGCACTAACAGGACTTCACTAGCTCCCATCTTCACAAATATCATTTTACTATTCTAGGAAACTTTTACCTAGGAACACAAAAGTTGTTGCAAATAATTATATTGTTCAGGAATATCCAAAAGACTCATATAGGTGGCTAGACAATTCGAAGATTTAGTCTGATAATAATTCCAAGACTTTTTGAGACTATTTCCCTGACCTTGTCTTGCTAGATCCACCAACCTTAAAGTTATAGCATGATCCTTACCCAATTCTAATCGAGGGCCCCCACATTAAAGGACTCTGATTCTACCCGAGGCATGGTTTGGACTGTACAAAGTGGCATCTTCCTTACTGCTGTAGCAAGGATCTCAGCTTTGCTTATCAGCATGTTTTTGGATAGTGACCTTAGGGAGCTGGCATTTGATACTATACATTTCATTTTGTTTCATTTGTCTGGCTCTTCCCTTTACAAAGGGCAGGGATTTTGTTTGATTCACTGATATATCTCCAATGTCTGGAATAGTACTGGCTAACACTAGGGACTCAAATGTTTATTGAATGAATGAATGAAAAAGAAAAGACCAATTTCTCTCCCCTAAATTCTCTCCTCAGGTCCACCAGTCTGCTGTCTCATACCCGTCCAGATATAACTGTTATATTCCATGTTCTTAAGATTTGGATAGAATTACTAGTGCTAAGACATCAAAATTGAGACCAACAAAGACTCTTCTTAGTTTCAAGTCTTCATCAAGGCTTCTGAGGTGATAAATGTCTTGGTTATTTGATCTGAAGTAATCTCCCCAAAGTAGTGAGTATGAAGAAATAAATTTWAAAAAAAAAATCTTAGAGAAGAGGTCAAATAGGCAAACTTTACTATGTGGTTCCAAAAACAGTTATAAACATTTTTTCAGCAAATTATTCAAAATTTACATGAGGATATTTGAATGTTTGTATTATTTTTGTTTGCTTGCTAAGACAACAAGATCAAATATATTTGTATATTTACATATACTTGATCTTTTTTTCTTTTGGTACCAGATATTTAACCCAGGAGTGTTTAACCCCTAAACCACATCCCCAGCCCTTTCTATTTTTCACTTTGGGACAGGGTCTCACTAAGCTGCTTAGGACCTCACCAAATTGCTGAGGCTAGCCTTGAACTTGTGATCCTTCTGCCTTAGCCTCCCAAGCTACTGGGATTACAGATATGCACCACCATGCCCGGCTCAAGAAAGTATATTCTTAAAGTATAGGTCAACATATTCTTAAAGAACAGATAATTCACAACAAGTACTTGCCTGATGAATAACAAAAAAGATGCTCTCATAGGCGTCCTTTTGAGTATATACACTGCAACTGTAGTCATCTTCATCTATACCAGAATATCCTTTCAAAAACAAGTGCTTAAAAGCAACAGTGTTATCTTCTTTGAAAGCAACCACCAATTGGTTACCTAAACCAAAACGAACAAGCTGGAAAAGAAAATCAAATAGGAATATGAACTTGACCATTTTCCAAGGAAGGAAAATGTCTTCTGATCATTCACCTTCTGCTCAAACCCTATAAGAAAAATCATCTCAATTCCTTGCTTCATACCAATAGCAACAATGTCAAAATACAAGTCCCCCCAAAGAATAACTTCACTGAGTTACATCAGCAATTCTAAGTAGCATTAAGATTGTGTTGGAGCTCAGACAAAAACAAACCCCCAAGCATGGTGCTTTGACAGGCTGAGTACCTTGAACTTCAGCAGCAGCCCAAGCACAAAAAGTCTTCCTGACCTTCTCTCCCCTCCCTACCTCTCCTGAAACACAGGAAGGGTCTTTCTCTGAAGTACCTTTACCTAAAAGTTCCTCCAGTAAGAAGTAATTGCCACGAATCCCATCACTATAAGCTCATTAAACAGGAAAGATTAATTCAAAGGAAAGAGGACTAGAGTTAACACCATCGTCAGAGTCCAGAGAAACTTTGTCCCAAGCTATTGTCTGTTCTTTAGGCCCATTTATCCCTTCCCCCCCMAAAAAAAACACCAAAAAAACAAAAACAAAAAACATTTACTTACTGCACTACTCTGAGTTCTCCAGAGAAACAGATCCAATAGAATGAGGGGGTCTATTAGATTGGCTCCCATGATCAGAAGTTAATTTGCCCCACAGCAGCTGACTAGGGGGCCAGGGAAAGCAGGCAGCTGCTGAATCAAAGAAGCAGGAAGTCTCAGAAGGAGAGAGAAAGGCCAATGGGGTCCCAGTGTGAGGCCAAAAGCCTGAAAACCCTGAGAGCCGCTGGTGCTGGTCCATATTCAAAGGCTGATGAACTGGAGGCTGATGTACCACACAACGGGGGAGAAAAATGCACCCAGTAGAGAAGGGATGAATGCTGGGGAGAAAGCTTCTCTCCAATTTTTTGGTTCCATCCAGGCCCTCAGCCTAGTGGATGGTACTGCCCTCATTAAGTGCAGGTCTTTCCCACTCAATTTGCTGACCCACATGCCAATCTTCTCTGGAAATACCTTCACAGACACACCCAGAAGTATGCGTTATCAGTTTTTAGGTATCCCTCAACCAGTCAGGTTGACAACCAAAATTAACCATTGTCCTTACTCTCTCTTTAAAATGGCATATATTCTCTCTTCCCACTTCCCTCTTCCCTGTGAAGAAGGGTATATCAACTTCTAAATTTTGTTGGGTGATCTCCCCGTGCACATAATAAATGAGTGGGGTTTTTTTTTCCTCTTGTTAATCCATCTCCTGTCAGTTTATTTTAGTTGACACAAATACTAAACCTTCAGAGAACAGAGAGGAAATTTCCTTTGCCCCTACAATTGAAAGAAATTCACTCCCAACCCTACTGGCGTGTGTATGTGTGTGTGTGTGTGTGTGTGTGTGTGTATGTGAGAGAGAGCTACTGAAAGTTGAACCCAGGGCCTCTACCACTGAGCTTCATCTTCATCATTTTTTAATTCTTTATTTAGAGATAGGGTCTTACTAAGTTGCCCAAGCTGGTCTCAAACTTGAAATCCCCCTGCCTCAGCTTCCTGAGACACTGGGATTATAGGCATGTACCACCATGCTCTGACCCTACTGGCTTTTAAAAAAGGAAGAATTCATATCAGCTAAGTCTGAATACTTTTTCCTATATTTGGGTTTTAAATTAATTGTTTTCATAAGTGATTAGTTGGCAAAGCAATAATGTATGTTTTATTGGTAATATACTTAGAAATTGTGGCTTTTAAGAATGCCTTTGAGAAGTTATCAGTATAAATATTTACTCCAGATAGGGTGTAACAATTGTTCAAAGAATTCAATTAATCCAGTTCTGCAAAAATTCTTATACAGCATTTACAACTAAGACTTTGCCCAACAAGATCTACAGTATCAAAGTTCATAAAAGAGCTGGGGCTCTTTTATAAGCTGGGGCACACTGTAATCCCAGCAACTCAGGAGGCTAAGGCAGGAGGATTGAAAGTTCAAGGCCAGCAGCCTCAGAAACTTAGTGAAGCCCTAGGAATTTAGCAAAACCTTGTTTCAATAAATAAATTAATTAATTTAAATGGCTGAGGGTGTAGCTCAGTGGTAAAGCACCCCTGGGTTCAATCCTCTGTACCATTAAATAAATAAAAATTTAAAAGTTCCCAAAAGCATAACAGGGCTCAGTTTACCTATATGATGTCAAACCCATTCATTGTCACCAAGCACCCACCTGCTCCTGATAAAACATCTACTTGCTTTCCCTTCCATTGTATCTGATACAAGATTAGGCACCCAAGGGCTCTCCTCACCAAGAGTGAAAGTTTTCTACCTAGAACCCAATAAATAGGGAAAATTAGCCAATACCAAAGGTTTACAAAAAACTAAGAAACCACACAAACAGCCATGTACACACAGGTGCACATTATCAGGTGTATTCTCTCTCTCTCTCTCTCWCACACACACACACACACACACACACGTGTGTGCAGGCACACTTACACTCTCTCGTGTATGCCCTCACCTCTCACACTTTCTGTGTATTCTAATTCATTCCCTCCCTCCTCTCTCTCTCTCTCTCTCTCTCTCTCTCTCTCTCTCTCWCACACACACACACACACACACACACACAGAGAGTAACATTTTTGCTGAAGTTAAACCTCCAAAAGCCTGTGCCACACACTTTTTCCCACTTCCCTGTTTCATAAAACAATGAGACTCTAGAAGTTTTCCTCCAGGCCTTACCCAGCTCAGTCAGAACATTTTGAGAATGTGTGAAATTAGCAAGTTTAATTAGATGACCCATATAGTTCTGGCATTTCTTGCCATCCCATCACTCAATATAATAAAACTATACAATAATACATAAAATATTAATTATGAAAAATTCAGATGAAATTAATGTTAATTTGCACAAGCAAATTAGCACAAGGGTGTTTTTTTAGTAGTTCTTATTTCAGCTTTTACATTTTGACAGCAAAAATGCATTCCTGTCCCACCATCTAGATCTTAAGGTTTGCTAATTAAATTAAATTTAATTAATTAATTATTASAAATAATATTGACAGGCTGGAAATATAGCTCAGTTGGTGCTTACCTTTCTTGCACAAGGCCCTGGGTTCAATCCCCAGCACCATAAATAGATCCATCGATCGATCGATCGATCTGACTATTTTCCAGCAATTATATGCCAGACATTGTATTAACTGCTTTACATGTATTTTCTTACTTACCACTGTAACTAACCATGAATATGTTACCACTATTATCTGCATTTTACATAAGTATAAACTGATACCTAGCCTCATTAAATTTCCCCAACCCACTTAACTAGTCTGGAAGCCAGGTCTAACTCCAAAACCATCTTTATGATGCTGCATGAACAATTTCCTTCTGATAGAAAAAAAAATTTTATCTTTGGGACATTTCTTWTAAAAAAAACAATTTAAGTGCTGGCATTTCATAATTAGGAAAGGCAGCTATTGCTTGAGAATGTACATAGATGACACTCTAGAGCATTTCAATTTCACCATGTCACATTCCTGAAATACCAACTCCAAGGATTGAGCAATTGCAAAAAACACAGCTATTCTAAGAAGAACATCAGATAAGACATCCCACATCATTCCACCTGTGCTGAAAATCAAGCAAGCTAAGGTTAAAAGTTCTTTCAAGCATGTGACACCTGTCAATGGCACCTATAGGAGAGACAAGGAAAGGTCATGTTGCTTTTTGAAAGTTAAAAAGTAAACCAAAGAACCAGCACACACAATTGATTCAAGATGTTAGAAGGGGATACCATTGCATCTTCCAAACCCTCCTACCTCACCTATAGCACCATTATTCAATCAAAATTTACCAACTGCTTCTTTCTGACAAGCTCAATACCATGTGGATGTGGGCAGGGTCAACCCTCATGGTGTTAAATAATAGCACATAGGCACTGTACTAAAAATTTACAATTATTATTTTTCATTTAATTCCTCCATATTCTATGAGAGTTGTTACACTGGGGTCTATTTTTTTTTAAATAGGCCTTCTTTTCTTTCTTTCTTTCTTTTTTTTTTTTTTTTTTTTTTTTTTTTTTGTTCTCCCTAGTACTATACAGACTCAGGAAATCAAATAGTGCCCATCACAATGTCAGGGCTAAATATGATTATAGTGTATACATAAGCACACTGAAGTCAATTAATTATCCAAGCTGGAATATCTAGAAGGTATCAAATTGAGGATTCAAACCAGGTCTGTTGACATTAAAGCCTGCTCATTCTTTTGACCATTGGGCTTCCCCAGCTCTTTTACTGAAACGCTGCTGTACTCAGATATTAGACCTATCCCTCCTACACCCATAGAAAAGAAACACAAAAGGTCTGAACAGAAAATGGACAATCAATTAAGAAAGTGGCATATGATTTGCTGATATATGAAGCCACCATTTTATTCAAACTCAAAGCCATCGATTCAACTTTGAGAAGAAGAAAAGGTTAGTGTTGTACTCTCTGCTTGAAACCACCTGTCTGGCATCAAGAACAAAAATCTCCCTCCATTCTCTTGTTCATAGAACAAGCCAAGATCTTCATCTATGGTCTACCACCAGGGAGATGTGGGCATCCTCAAAGCTTCTCTCAAGAGAAACAGACCCTGAGGAGGGAACTGCAAAGGCTTTTTCTTGCTGTGACAGAACCAAACCCTCCCTGCAGAGGAAGAATAAGGGGTGATGGTTGTTATGGTTTGGATGTGAGGTGTCCCCCAAAAGCTCATGTGTGAGACAACGTAAGAAGGTTCACAGGAGAAATGATTGGGTTGTAATAGTCTTAACCCCATCAGTGAATTAATCCCCTGATTGGGATTAACTGAGTGGAAACTGAAGTGGGAGGGTGTGGCTGGAGGAGGTGGGAACTGGAGCCAGACTCTGGGTATGCACTTGAATCTGGCAAGTGGAGACCTCTCTCCCAATCACCATGTGAGCTGCTGGTCTCTGTCACACTCTTCCACACTCCTCTTCCTGTTCTGCCTCACCTCAAGTCCCAAGGAATGGACTGCTGTCTAAGGACTGAGACCTCTGAAGCCTTTAGTCCCCATGTAAACCTTTCCTCCTAAAATTGTTCTGGTTGGGTCCTTTAGTCACAGCAGTGAAATAGCTGACTAAAACACTGGTGTTGACCCAAATGACTTTATGTTCAAAAAGCAGCAGACAGCAAAAGTGCATTCCTATACCCCCATCTAGATCCTAAGATTTGCTAAAAATGTGACACAAGACAGAAAAATCATTACTCACTAAATGTAGTCTGGCAAAGACTGTGAATTAAACACCTCATTATGAAATCAATGTAGGAGAAAATATTCTGTACCAGGTAAAAACAAGATACCACTCTAATGAGGCACAAGGACCATGGGAGGGAAAGAGTAGAACTAGCAAAAGAATGCAGACACCTCCCTCAAGATTATAAATTACTGCAGAAGGCAAAGTAGGAATTAAAAAAAAAAAATAAGATTCCTTCTCATCGACCTTGACCTTGATAAAATTCCACCCATCCCATTAGATTTGAGAAGGGAGTGTAAAAGAGAAAAGAAGGAAGAAAGAAAAGTGGGATTTGACAGAAGGAAAGAAATCTCCAATTAGATAGCACCCAAGTAGCAAAACAGTGGAATAATCCTACAGGGGAACAAAAATTCAATCTCTCCTAATTTTATTAGGGGAGACAGGTAAGTATGTCCACACAAAAAGTAAATTATTGGTTCCCAGAAATACTTCATTATTAACAGTAAAATTGATGATGTAGACAGTAAAGAGTATTAAGGAAATCTACATGTCAAGTGGTCAGGAAAAGCTGATGGGGAGATGGGACTTCAAATAGCACCTGCATGGTGAGGGAGAAGGACCCACTCTGGTTATGGGGTACCAACAAGCAGGAATGAGAATCATCTGGTTGGTCTGGCTATTCTAAGAAAAGTAATGTGATATTAGCATGAAATAGACTAGTATGCGGGAAGGCAAGAAGGACACACAGGATGATGACCAGAAGCAGCCTCGTTCACTCATCTGAGTTGATAACTGTGAGCTCCAAGGGCAACACTTACATCCAGAAGACATAGTATGAGAGTGTGAGAGGGCAGACTCCAGAGGAAGTACCAGACCGTCTGAACTCAAAGCCTGGCTCCGCCATTTACTAATTGGTTATAAACAAACTCTTTCACTCTTTCCCCCCAATTTCTTCATGCATAAAAAGAGAATTATAACTGAATCTACCTCACAGGGTCACAGTAAGGGGGAAACGAGTTAACACAGAGAAAATGCTTACTGTGTTTGACATATGGAAAATTCCATGCTAGGTTCAGCTGTCAGTAGCAAGATAATATGTTTACAGCTGTATCCCCAACTCAATATCCAGCAATGTTTCATGTGTTTTTTTAAATTGGGGCTCAGAATCTGTGCTAAAAAGATAACAAGTATGAAAAAAACAAATATATGCAATTTAGAAGGAAACCAATCAATGGGATTTAGTAAGTTATCAGGACAAAGAAGGTAAGTCAAGAATGGAAATGACATTTTATGCCTTTGTAAATAGAATTTTAGTAACATTAGAGTGAAAAGCCAAAATGAGAGCTGGTTTAATAAGATAAGGGTTTGCAAGACAATTAAAATTAACCAAATGACAAATCAGGACATGACTCTCCTTCCAAGTAATACTAATAATGCACCTATTTTATTATAAGAATTAAAACTTGAAAACCATGAATGAAAAGAGCTAAGAAGCATGCACTTTTAATAATGTTCCTGCATCTCAATCTTGTGTTTTCTGAAGCCACTTGTTTTCTCTAAAGCTGGATGAAGTAGTACAGCATGCCATACAATGGAAAGACCTCTTTATGAATAAAGAGGCAGCTTCAGATAGAGCAGGCTCCTTCTCTCATTTCTATAACTTCTTTTTTAATATTCTAGAAATAACATCTTTATACCCTTTTCTATTGGTGGCAGAATGATTATTTGCCAATAAAGCTGAACATTCCAAATCAGTACTGGGTACTGGGTTTTCATTTTTTTTTTTTGCAGGAGTTGGGTTGTTTGTTTATTTATTTCAGTGCTGAGGATAAAACCCAGGGTCTCACACATGCTAGGCAAGTGCTCTTCCAAAGAGCTATATCCACAACCTAAGGACTGTTCTTAAAAGGGCTTCTGTTTTAGATGTAGGTACCTATAGAGAAGCTGACTCAAAACTAGTTCAGTGTCAAGCTCAACAGCTAGATGACACCTCTGATGGCTGCATTAATACGGTGATAAACTGCTCCATAGTATGAACTTAATCCAATGATCCAAATGTTGCTTTTATACACTACTGATAGTAACCCAGGGTGAGTGTTTACTTTGAGCATGTTTGTTGCTGATAAAAGGGAAACTTAGTGTTCTGTAAGGGAAAAAAATTGTAGATTTCAAAAGCATATTTGAATACAGTATATTTGAAGGTGAGGGATTCAAGAACACAAATCACTTCATACTGACAGTCTTGGCAGCCTATGAACCTCACAGAGATATAGAAATTCTCCTCAGTTCAGATCCACATTTATGTAGTATTTACAGAACCTGTGGAGGGATAACCTCATGTTCTTACCAAAAAAAAAAAAAGGTTGCCTTCTAATCTGAACTTCAGCCCATCTTCTGCCTCCAGAGACAACATCATTTTATAGTTTCATGAACTTGAATGTGGATATTTCAGAACAAAAGTCAAGTGTAGAACACATGAAAACAGTTTCATCTTGGGGTAAGGAAAAAAAAAGTATGAATTACCTGTGCAGTAACCATGACTATCTTCAAAATCTGCAAACCCAGTTTCCACGGAATCTGGTGTCTGGCCCGGTACTTCTCACAGGGGTTCATGAAGTAAAACCTCAGGTCTTCCCTCAGACATTCTTCTTTCACTTCAGAATCCAGATGTGCCATTGCATTTCTGCCACAGAAGATCAGTTTTTAAATACCCACAACTGTCTGTTCCCCAAAAGGCTCCTAAACGACACTTTCTCTTCACATGCTTTACCTGTTTCTTGTAGAAACACAACTCTCCAACCAATGAACTGCTTTTCTCTTCAGAAATCAGAAAATTATTCGAAACCTTCTACCACCTGACTTTCCACAGAGCTGTCCCTCCTGTTCAAAGTGGTCATTCTCAACAATAGTGAAAATTAAAATGAAATTTATTTGTAAGACTCAATTCCTGCATTTGAACATAGAACATTCTCATTCTCCTATCACAAGAAAGTATTACAAGATGTGTGTGTGTGTGTGTGTGTGTGTATGTGTGTGTGTGTGTGTGTGTGTGAGAGAGAGAGAGAGAGAGAGAGAGAGAGAGAGAGAGAGAGAATGTGTAATAGTATAAATGTACAAAAATGTCTGATTGTGTGTATCAACAAAAATTAGATGGAACACTTTCAGGATACATTGCATATTTAATTATAGACTACATAGACTAATGGAACCTAATTGTTATAGAAGTTGAGAATCTATTCTATAACTGCACTAAGAGAAGGATTATGTTTCACTCTACCCCCACCCTCACCCCTGTTTTTTGGATAAAATATCAGTTATTATAAGGTTCCAGAATATAAAATGTTTCTAAAGTTAAGATAGCATTTTTTTTATTTATGCCTAATCAAATTTTGTGTCATTATATTAGTAAAAATTTTACTTTAACTGTTTCAAGGACCAGGACCATTATTCAAGCTAGGCCAAAAAGAAACACAGGATATGATTACAGGAATGTATTATAACTGAGGGGACAAACGTGGTATTTTCCCTAAGTAGTCCCCAACATGGGGTGTGTGATACATTCCATTAGGAGTATAGAAAATATTAACACTTCCATTTTAGTCCTCATTTTAGAAACTAAAAGAATGAACTCTATTAAAAATTAATAAAGAATATACATATATAACATAATAATTAACATAGCTTAGAGAATATACATATAACAAAATATATAAACATATTATATAATAATTTACAAATAAATATATATACATAGGGAATGCTGTGCTCAAATTGTAYTATTAGGTATGTCAAGTTTGGAGACCATACCCTTCAAGCACAGGCTGTCTTGGGGTGCTAGATGCCATCTTGCCACCACAGGAGAGCTTGCTAGAGATTAGAGCTGGCACAACAGGTCAGACAAGAGATGGATACCAAGTCTAATAACAATATTTGGATTCCTGGATCCAACTGTGCCTGAGGCTGTCCATTCAAAGGCTTTCAACTTAAGCCAATAAATACATTTGGGAGCTCAAGCAATCTTGAGTCCTGAAGTTTCTGCTTCTCAGGAAGTGTCTTGATGGTAAGTTTAATGAATAAACTRTAATAGGTTAGGCCACCATTCCAGTTACTCATTTCTTATCAAGATTCTGTAATTGAAGTTATTCTTGGGAATCTTCTTCCTGGAAATATCTAAATAACATTTTTATTTCTGACTCATGATCTCTGTTATCTACCTTAACTAACAAGCTCAAAAGAAGCTTGAGGGGCTGGGATTGTGGCTGAGTGGTACAGCACCTGCCTAGCATGCACGAGGCACTGGTTTTGATCCTCAGCACCACACAAATGTAAAATAAAGATATTGTGTCCATCTAAAACTAAAAAATAAGTTTTTTTTTTTTAAAGAAGCTCAAAAGGGAAAGACTGTTTTAAGGCTCACACTCAGTTTTTAGTGATTTTTCTATTTCTAAATTGATTTAAAAAAATTTTAGTTGTTGATGGACCTTTATTTTATTTATTTTTATGTGGTGTGAGGATCAAACCCAGGGCCTCACACATACTAGGCAAGCKCTCTACCACTGAGCTACAGCCCCAGCCCTAAATTGATTTTTTTAAGATCTCTTGTTTCCAGGATTAGTGGACGGGGATAGTCAGAATTATCCCATAGTAAAGGAGGAAAGGGAAAGAATATAAAGATATGACAGGAGAAATAAAGAAAATAGAAGGGAGAAGGGAGGAGGAAGGGAAGGAAAGAGAGAAAAGAAAACTGAATGAAACACAGGCTCTTGAAGGGTGGGATGGGAAAGTATCTTTAAACTATCAAAAAGAGTCCAAAGAGCAGAGAGCTCCTAGGCCAATTTCAGAGGCTACTGGAGAAGTTAAGAGCCAAGTGTCAAGCATACACACTTAGGCTTTTGTTTTGTAGCCTCAGGTAAGGGAAACAAGAGAGCCACCAAAATATAATAGGACAGCTGTCCCCAAAGGGCTGCTCTCTAGGGACAAGAACCAAAATCGAAACTGCCTGTCCCCAAATTTATAGGACTACAAAGGAGAGCAGAGTGGCTCCAAATCACAGAAAAGAAATTAGAAAGGAAAAGTAGACCCAGCATGAAAAAAGGACAGTCACAGACCAGCCCTGTGAGTGTCACACCTGGTTGAGCCAGGGAACTTCAAACGGTGAGCCCGCTTGGGTCTGGGAGGCCCAGACTGGTATCACCCTTGATATCCCAGAAAATATAAAGATCTCTCCAGAGGTTCCTTAAGACTTGGGGTACTCTAACAAGTAATTTATAAACACAACAACAAGCAGGCAGTTAAATATAACTAAGCACAGAAGGAAACCGAGTCACATAAAGCAGTTACTTAGAAACAACAGGAACAGGACTGAGCATACTAGAATCAGATACATTGGAAAAAAACAGGCTTACCATATTTAAAGACAAACAACGTGGTAAAAAAAAAAATCTATGAGAAAACTCGGAAAAGACAAAGTGCTTTTAGAAACAAAAATCAGTTAGCATAATGAGTCTTGTTTCAAAAGAAGGAGAAGACTTTACAAATGTGTTTGTCTTGCGCCTGCTACAGTCTTGATTCAGTCTGACTAACCGGACAAGCCCTTACTCTGCTAAGTGAGGATGTGATAAATGCTCAGGACACAGGGTTTGAATAGGTTCCTTGAAATTCACATACTCTATGTCCAGCAGGACAGGCAGAATTGCCACAGCATTAACAAATAGTTCAGCGAATGTTGGAGCATAGCCTAAAACATATTACGGACACAGTTCTGACCATGGGGAGAGAGAATGCTGGGGGAACCCATCACAGCCATTGAACCGTGGTTAGTGCCATACTCTTTGAGACTCAAGCCAGTTTGAGTTCCAACATTCTTGCTTCTCAGGAAGTGTCTTGATGGTAAGTTTAATACATAAACTGTAATAGGTTAAGCTATCATTCAAGTTACCTGACTGGGCAATGAAAGGACCCATTCCCAAAAAGAAGGTGGCATCTTAACTGTTCCTGAGAGCAACATCCTGAAACATGAACTTCAGAGCCCTGAGAACATGCCTGTAAAAAGCCTTTATGGACATGCTTGAGCAATGCTAAATTGAGAGCTAATCAACATTGCTTTAGTGGTTGAGTATTGCTAAAGGATTCATCCTGATGATTCACAATATGCTTTCCGTTTAATAAAATGAAAACAGAATTCAAAAAGGTGTGTGTAAAATTCTCAGAGCCCTGAGAGTAAAGCCATGGAGCTTCCCCTGTTCTCACACACACATACCCAACCTCTGTGTGAGGAATGCTAAGGCAAAGGAAGAAGCGTGGAGAAAACACATTTGATCATACACTTAGTGAACATCTAGAGAGCCAAGCTCTGCTGTTGACATTTTCCTTCCACCCAGGAGCTCAGTCCAAGGGAAGAGAGAGATATGAATAGATACCAGTGCAATCAAATGTGTTGGGAACTATAGTTGAAGTGTGCACTGAGAACCCTAGGAACAGAAAGAGTGTCTGATGCAGCATGGTTGCTTCAAGAGGCTTCAAATGATTCTGGCCATTGATTCCTCCCATGACATGGCTACTGAAGGTTCAAGAAATGATAGCTGCTGTTAACATTAACCTAAGAAACTTTATTAAGAAGTCTCAGGCAAAAAAAAAAAAAAAAAAAAGGCCAGGCACAGTGGTGCATACCTGTAATCCCAGTGTCTGCAGAGGCTGAGGCAGGAGGATTGCAAATTCAATGCCTCAAAATAAAAATAAAAATGGCTGGAGATGTGGCTCAGTGGTTAAGCACCCCTGATTCAATCCCTGATCACCCAAAAAAGAAAAACAAAAAGAAGAATAAAAGAAAACGGCAGCATTTTTTTTCCAAAATACCAAAAAAAAAAAAAAAGTAAAGTAGCAGTTAATGAAAGTCAAGATGGCTAATTGTGCTGCACTGTTTATACTACTATATTCTTCCAGAATTGTTTCACTTAAATTATTTACAAGCAGTTGCACCACTTCTAACATTGTGAAGTATTAAAATTAAAAAGACTGTGCATGTGTGTGATACTGGGGACTGAATTCAAGGGTGCTCTACTACTGGGCTACACTCCCAGTCCCCCTCTTTTTTTTGGAGGTGGAAAGGCAGGGTCTCATTCAGTTGCCCAGGCTGTCCTTGAACTTGCCATCCTTCTGCCTTAGCCTCCCAAATAGCTGGGATTACAAGGCATGTGACACTAAAAAAAAGAAAGAAACCAGGCACAGTGAAGCATGTCTGTAATCCCAGCAGCTTGGGAGGCTAAGGCAGGAGCCAGCCTCAGTAAAAGTGAGGTGCTAAACAACTCAATGAAATCCTGTCTCTAAAAAAAATACCAAATAGGGCTGGGAATGTGGCTCAGTGAGCGAGTGCCCCTGAGTTCAATCCCCGGTACAAAAAAGAAAGAAATAAAACTTTTTCTAAAGCTACCCTGAAAAACTGTTCTCTTGAGTATATAAATCAATTGGCAAATATAAGATACTACTAGTTGAATATGACCAACTTATAATAATAGAAATACAGATAATTAGTTGTACAATGAGATAGATGTTCTTTAATAAGTCTAATTTATTAAGTTTTAAATAACATCTAAATTCAAAATGTAAAGGCTCTAAAATTCTAGTAGCTTAAGGAAAACATAAATCTAAACATTTTCTAAACTTTTCAGAGGGTTCTTTATTGCC